CTTTTCTCCATCATGTCCCACTTCCTTTCCTCTTTCCTCTCTGTCCTAGACATGCTCTGACCCCACAAGCTGTTCTGGCTGCTGTACCCTTGGTTTCACTGGTAGTTTAGCCAAGATAAAGCAAGAGAAAATGTTCTGTATGGTTCTCAAGTTTCCCCAAGTCTTGCCATCTGTAGATTTGTTCGGGTCTCTTTAACAGCAGGAGAATAAGTCTCCAACCGCCCTCACCAAGTATTTCGTGCCAGCTCCTGGAGCCCCACCATGAGGCCCTGCACCACTAACACGGCCCCTTGACCACCATCAAGTTCTCTTGAAGACAGGCCCTTCGGCACAAGGGCTACTTTGGCTTCTTCTTTGCAGAGTTGATCCACCACCCCCCCCCGCCCCCCGCTCCAAGGGGGCAGATTCCTGATGTTTACAAAAACACAAATCCTCCAGGCCTCAAAGCAGCTCCCCAGGGCTGAAGAAATGGGGTCACTCACAGCGGTGGGGGGAAATGTCCCTGTCTTCATAAAGACTGCTAAATAGTGCTTGTCTCTCCCAATCCCAGATGTTTCCCCAGAAGCCTTTGCAAAGAAAAAGAAAACAATGGGGCACCTGGGTGGCTCACTCCATTAAGTGTCCGACTCTTGATTTTGGCTCGGGTCACCGTCTCAGGATCATGAGGTTGGTCCTGCATCGGGCTCAGAGCTGAGCGTGGAGCCTGCTTGGGATTCTCTCTCTCCCTCTCCCTCTGCTCCTTCCCCTGCCCAGCATGAACATGTCACATGCTCGCTCTTGGAAAAGAAACCAAGAGTTGGGTCCCAGGTAGCAAATGCTTTTTGGAAGGACAAATTATTTTTGTGCTTCCCATGTGCCAGACACCTTGCTAGCTTCTTTCCATGTCAGTTTACTTAATCGTTATAGCAACTGTATGAGGTGTGTACTGCCCACCTTCTCTACAGATGAGGAACAGAGCTTTAGCTACCTCCGATACAGCCAACATCACTGTCATCGGTCTCCAAAGCCCATCCCACTGCCGGTGTCCTATAGATTTTACATAAGCCAACAACAAAAGACAAAAACAAATACCCATTTAGCTTCAGTTTGGTGCTTCATAGGCACTGGAATAATTTGCATTACAATTATTATGTAGCAGGTAATTGGTGCATATTCAGTGGAGGGAAGATACAGGACCCTTCTGGGCCCACAAAAGATACAGATGAGCTCTCCTGATATGCATGACACCATAGCCTTCTCTTATGTATATAGATGGCACTTACCTACCTTTATATGCACAGATGGCAGGTACCTAGCCTCAGGCCCACAGATGCATGCAGCTCTCCTGGGTGTGGTCGGTCTGTACCTATCCTCTTGTGCTCTCATGGTACACAGCCACCCCTGTGCACACAGATGATAAGTACTTTTCTTAAGGGCACAGGTGACACCTTACTCACGGGATAAGGAAGTCCGACATGGGGTGAAGTGCTTTATAATGGACATTCACACTACTTAGTAACTGTTCAAGTTTATACCATGTGAGATTTTTCTCTTTCATGCATTGGACCTGCTTACTAAGGTTAGGGTGTTCTAGGACAACCGTTCAGCATCGTAGCGCCCTCCCTGAGCTGCCATGTCAGTGCATGGTGACCTGTTCCTGGCTGTTTGATAATTCCAGGGATGAACACTTGATCCAGCTGGGCATTGCGATCCCAGAGTCCTTGCCTAAGACTTTGGTAATAGGGACTTAAAAAGAGAGTTGGCTTTCTTTAGTGACCAAAACTGTGGACATTGAGGCTATCAGTGACTAGGTGAAGAAAGTTGATATGCAAGCAAAAGATCAATGAAACCAACACACACACACACACAGAGAGAGAGAGAGAGAGAGAGAGAGAAAGGCAGAGACAGACATGAAGACATTTGAGCATTTTAGTTCTTGGTTCTGATATGGCCTGGGTATTTCATGAAGAGGGGCCTAAAATCTTTGACCAAGTCCTTCTCTCTGCTAAGGCTAGTCAGGGATGGTTTGTGGTTAGTTCCAAGAAGAGAGCCCTTACCAGTGTAGAATGTCTGATGATTCCTGTCCTCTTTGTGCTGACACACTGAGTAAATACCTACTGAGAGGCAGACCTGTGACACTCTCTCAATGCTCAAAATAAAGATATGGCCCAGATCTCCTGTCAGAGATGGTTAATCTGGTATACTAATTTTTCAGAAACTTTCCAAATATAAATTTATGATTAAGTACTTAAGTATTATCGTAAGTACTTAAGATACATTTAAGCTACATGCATAAGTTTGCCTAGTAAACTTCTATTGATCTGGCTTTCTAAACAATAAGAGATTTGCAATTACCAAATTTTTCCTAACCCTATGGAAGCCAATGAAATAAGATATGGTGACTAAGGGAACTATTCTAAACAAACACCTTTTGGGATACACTACAGGGTCGACTTGAACACCTTCACTGTTCTGTGTATTTCAGGGCCTGAATCATCAAAGCAATATGAGGCACAGCGTGACCTTGAAGTGTATTTTAGTCTCCCATATTTCTATGATATAACTTGTTTAAAATTCACGTACGAGCATCATGGTAACAGCTCTACTTCTGAGCTCTTGCCATGTAGTAGGCAGGTAGCTTTCTGGGAGCCAAACACACATTAACTCCTTTAACCACCACAGCAATCCTCTTGGGTAGATACTGTCGTTTAATCCCTATTCGCAGATGACCGAGAGGTAACATAATTTGCCCAAGGTCACACAACCATCAGGAGGTTAAGCTGTGGAGAGGACAGCCTGATACTAGAATCCACACCTCTTAGGTAACTAAGATAATCCTAGCAGGTCTCAGGTTAAGTAGCATAATCTAACAAGACATCCTACTTCTCAAGTCCTTAGAGGGGATTTTGATGTATATTTCTTTATAAGCTCTCTGGGTTTGTAGAATATGGGTCAGGTATCAGGGAGGCAGACATCTATGCAGGAAATCTTTTATTATGAGGGCTAGAGGCCCTGTGACTCAAAAGAGAGCAACATGGTGGATCTCCTCAACCCAAAGACGGCCTCCACCAGTCCCTCCTTGTTTCCTTATGGTGAGAGCAAAGCTTTCCAAGGTTTCCCATCTCTCTTGGGGTGAAAGAACACTTCTTGGGCCTCAGGCCTTGTCAATCTCACCAGTCTCCACTGGGCCACTGGGCCCTGATTCTCTGGTCTTACATTTCTCCCATCATAAAACCTTTAGGTAAGACATTTCCTCTGACTGGTACCTACCTCCACTTCATCTGTGGCACTTAGGCAAATCCTAACTCATCTGTTAGGCCTTCCCTGAACCACAGACCACATATGGTTCCCTTCTTACAATCTCACAGCATCTTGTACTTCTTTCTTGTATTTATGAAAGTGGTAACAGAAAAATTGTTCAATTACTGAGTATTTGCTCCCTGGCCCTGGGGGCAAGCTTCAGGTAGGTAGGGGTTGTGTTTGTCTTGTTCATTGCTGAATCCCCAGCACTTAGCCCACAGCTTAGCAGGTAGTTAGCCCCTAATTAATATTTGTAAACTAAGTAGAAGAATTACCAGCAGCCAACTGAAGAGGAAATTCTCGAGTCTCCTTGGCATGGACCAGACCTGTCCAGACAAAGAGAATGCTAGAGCAGCTTGGGAGAGTGGTCAGCAAGCCAGAGGATAAACAAGTATACCTATAATTTTTTTCTTCTATACAACTTTTAACTGATTGGCAAGTGGCGAGGGCAAAATTATGATTTTGTGAGCAAAAAAATACAATCCAGTTTTATCAGTGCTAAAATCTTGATCAAAGAAATTTCAAATCAGAACACTGGGGGGCCAAAGTAAAAGAAACATAGTGGTTTTGATGTTATTATGTCTTGCTACCAAATATGTTTCTCTGGTTATAGGTGTTCGCTTTTAGTTGCAGCTCTGTCAATTTCATGTTTTATCTTTAGTTTTTGCAAAGGTTTTTTTTTTTTTTTTTTTTTTTTTTTTAATCATCTCTTTACTGATTCCTCGAAACAATCTTAAAGCGGAGAACCGGTGCCACGGCCTGGGCGATGAAGAAATGTTTCCTCTTTCAAAGACTATTTTTTGGACGATAAGAATTGCTAAAGAGGAAGCAATCAAACCTATCACGCTGGCTCTGTCCTCCACCCAGCGCGCTGCTTCCTGGTTTTAGACGCTTTCAGATCCTCCTGCTAAGTGTCATTGGACACATAAAACTGGACTGCCACGCGTTTTTTGTTGTTGTTGTTTTTTTGTTTGTTTGTTTTTCTTGCGGTCCCATCTCTCAGTCTGTTCACCTGGAAGATACCACACGGGAATCGGTCGCGCAAATCCAATTCGTTTCCCGGTGGCAATGAACCAGTTTGCAGCATTCACCAATGTGACATCAATCCTAAGCCGACGCTGGGAAAATGTGGCTCCACTTGTTTTCCGGCAAGCCTGCGGCCCCCTTCGCGGCCCTGAGGCCCTTCATTTCCCTCCAGGCTCCGCCGGGTGCCCCGCAGTCCCGGGAGGCGCGTCTTGTGGGCCGCTCCGGGGGACGGTCGCTGCGAGGGACGCCCAGGGGGCCTCCCCGAGGACGCGGCAAAACCCAGACGGACTTTGGTGATTCAAAAAACCACCGCAGGAAGTTGGGCCTCCCAAAGACAGGTGCTACCTTCGCAAGGCCTCAGCTCCCCAACGCCTCCAGCTCTCACCGGGCCCTTCTCGCCGCGGGTCGCCCACAGCCTGTGTCCGCCGCCCCGCGCGAACCGCGGAGGATGCGGGCGGCGCCAGGAGCGGCAGCCAACTCCCGCCACACCCGTCTGCCCCGCCGCGCCTTGCCGCGCCGCGGCCAACGCCTCCGCCACGTGCCCGCCTCCCGCAGCCAGGCCGCTCGCGATTGGCTGGCGGCGCCGCCCGTCGCGAGGGGCGGGAGCGTCGCTCGCAGGCCGGCGCTCCAATTGGTCGTGGCGGCGGCGGCGGCGGCGCGCGCGGCCCCGGCGAGGAGGGGAAGCCGGTGGCGGCGGCGGCGGCGGCGGAACGGGCGGAGGCTACCAGTTTCGTAACCGTCGCTCCTCCTCGGTGACTCGCGGGCTGCGAGGCCTGGGTCCGTCGGGCCGCGCCGCGCGGGGCCGCTCGGAGTGGAGGCCGCCTGGGGGCGGGCGGGCTGGAGGCGCAGGTAAGGAGGCCGCGGGCGGGCGGGCTGAGGGAAGAAGAGGAGGCCGCGGCGGAGCCGGCCGCTCGCCTAGGTGCCGGCCGGGCTCGAGGAGACCCGGCCGGGCCTGAGGCGGCCGGCTGGCCGGGAAGGCCCCGCGCGGCCGCGCGCGGCGTCTGATGCAACCTGCCGGCAACACCCGGCGGGGCCGCTGAGCTCATCCCTGGCCGCGGCCCAACACCGCGGCGCCACCCGCCGACCCCCGCGCTCCGCCCCGGGAGCCCCTCGCCGCCGGCCCGCGACGGGCCGGGGTGGGGCGGGGGACGAGGTGTGCCCTCTCCGGAACCCGGCGTCTGTTGGAGAAACGGGCAGTGGTGACAGGCCAGGCGCGTTATTGGCCCCCGGGGATACGGGGTGTTCCCCCAGAGCAGCGGGAGGTGGACCGTCCCTCACTGTAGTGCCACATCGGGTCTTGCCCGCCCCTCCAAGACCGCTCTGTGCGGGGAGGCGACCCTTCGGTTCCGAAGTTCGTAGAGCGTTCAAGTGGGCAAGGAGAGCAGTTCATGGTGAAGTCGGTGACTTTCCAGAACTAATCCCGCGCTCGCTTGAGGAGCTGTAATGCGAATATCCTGCACTTCACTGCCCAACGAGGTTAGACGAACGTGCGGCCGGTGGACTAGGAAAGAGACGGGCCAGAAGCGGAGCGCTTCGTTAGCCGGTCGCAGGGAACACAGGCGAGAAAACAGCTAGCAGAGGTGTCCAGGTGAAGAGGATGGAAATGCATGATTGAGGGGGGAGGGTCTTCTGTCCTCCCGCGGGAGCTTGTATGTTTTTTATCCTTCGGAAGGTTTAATCGTTCCGTCGGCCTTGTGTTTGAGACTTGTGTTGTGATCGGGCACCTGCAAACGTGTCGGTTTCAGAAGGGTTTTCAGGTGAGTGGGTTACACAAAAATTGGTAGTTTTCTCCCCGAGCCTATACTCAGCGAATCCTTATGTGAAGAGTTTGCCCTTCAATTCGGATAGGATAACGCGACTCCCCGATAAGTTTTGGAAAGAAAATACTGTAAGGGCTCGCGCTGCTAAGGAATTCTGCATCTTGATACTGAAAAGTTTAAAAATCTGGTCAGCGATTACCACTTGATCAGTATTGGGGAAGAGCTGTTCTTAAAGCGGATTCTCTGTTTCTGAAAAAGCTTACTATAAATAAGGCTGAGTAATTACAGGATGCCAGTGAGCTGAAGAATTTTTCGATTTCTTGATTCCTGCTTCTGGTGGGTGCACTTGTCTGATTCAGTCGATTTTGTTTTTCTGAACAAATAATTGCTAAGAGACAAAATTTTGAAGATATTTTATTCAAAATTCTCCATCTAGGAGAAAAGACATATATCAATATTTATACATGCTTTAATAACTTATTTCACTGTACAACTTGCATTCTGTATCACAGTACAATAAACCAGCAAAGAAAATAATCAGTATTCCTTAATATCATCTCACCTAGAAAGCACTGAGTAAGGGGTACAACAAGGTGCTACCTGTAATTCTTTCATGACTAAGCCACAGAGGGCCAGTCATCCAGTACCATTTGTGTCTATAAATCAAGATGTCTATACCTTTCCAATCAGTGATGTGAAAGGCTAATTAGGACCTTTCAGAAAAGAACATGTTGGTTTTGGTTCAATTTGGTGAGCAACAGCAGAGGGGTTCTGTCACTTTTATCCCTTTCTTATAAATATTTTTCCCTTTTGTGTAGCTTCCACAGTTTTAAATAAAAATATTTTTGATGCTTGTATATACTATTCTGTCAAAACTATTCTAGTGCAGAACTATATTAATCAGTTATTTTATAGCTAGCAAAATGGTCCAAACACATTAAGGAAACAAAAGAAATTGATCACTTAGTTTTTGCCCAAGTAGCACCTAGCAAAATAGCACATCAGTAAAGTTTTTCTTGCTTTCCTCACATGATGCAGGCAAAGAGACCTGCCAACTTAAAAAATATGGGCAGAAATAGAAGAAGGAAAAGGACAAGATATTCTCTGTTCCTGAAAAAAAGATCTTACTAGTTAGTACATTCTCTATTGCATTCTATAATCTCGGAAGTCACAACTGCCAAATCAGGGTGAGAATCTACAAGAGGAAAATAAGATAAAAATGACCGACTAGTGTAATCTGAACTTCTTCTAAGTCATTATATTTTTCAAGGAAAAAAAAGGCATAGGAGGTACACATTTCAATTTGGCTCAAAAATAATAAAAATTAATTTAAATAGTTGGCAATAACGATTAAAACATAAAATCCAATTTCCTCTCTTTTCTTTGACAGAGCTCAACAAACAAGTACACAAACAAACACACCCGCTGGCTATAGTTCACCACAATCCAGACGACATGTATAGCATGACGTTTTTACACAGACTGAACCCTAAGGACTACTAAGTCTATAAAGTAGGATCTAATAATTGATTTGAATTAAACATCTGCTTGATCAATATAGTCTTCCTAAAACTTAACCTATGTTCAAGGAACACCAAGAGATGAAAAGTCAACTAGTATTTTATCTGTGAAAACTAACTCAGATTTCACTGTGGTACATGTAAACCATGAATTGTAAGTTTCAAACAACAGTAGCTGTGGTCAAGTTTATACTCCATTATTATATCTTTAAAAGATAGCAGTAACATTTACTATGACTGTAAACCTAAGTCTGTATCCCAGGATAGCACATCTAGGAAAAGATGCATCCATCATAACAACACACCTGACATCCTCTTACAGGCTTGTGACAACTGTAGTGTAACTAACTGCATTGCCAAGCAGGGCTCTAGGGTGTGACCCAAGGGAATGATGTTTCCCATACCACCAAGCTACTTTAGCAGCAGTCATGATTGTGACGAAATATACTTAACAAGTTACACACTTAAAAAGTCATTAGAACATCTCGTTCTTGTACACTAGTATAGAAAGGTCTTCCAAAGATAAACGAGTGTAAACCTGGTTTAATTTTCTCAGCTAGAGCCATTATTATGTTAAGGTCGCCCTCTGCTGTTAAATCAAGGTCTATCTTCAGATTCCGTAGAGATTTAAAGGGCTTTTTCCCCTTCTGCGTATCATCTTCTATATATTTTATTAGCGTCAAGGCTTTTCTGTGAAGGACGAGTAGAAACTGTGCAAGGAAAGTACTCCTGAGCGACAAACCAGGTTTCAAATGAAAAACCTGATCCAGGAAGGCTTTTACTAAGGTGTCTCTGTGTAAGACATCTTGAAAAATATTCAGATCTGGAGTGAAGCTTTCGTCTGTACAGATAATAGTATCCTGAGCCATGTCTTCTTCTGAAGTGGCTCTCCAGAACGCTGTCAGCTCAGACCTCATGTATCTACGCTGATTATAAATATGTTCGTGACATGGTGGCATCTGCTTGACAGTATTGACGTCCACATCTATGTGCGTGGTGGGATAGGGAGCATACATGACTTGCCGGAAGGGGAGCACAAAGCTTCCAGTTGAATCCTTTAGCAGGCCTTGTACAAAGAGCCCTGACTCGTACTTAAATGATGATTCTGCTTCACATAATCTGGAACATTTTCTCTCGGCTGGAGTCAGAAAAAGGCATAATGTTCTCACTATCTTATTTACTTTTTCTGCACTGCTACCTACGACGACAGAACAGCCACAGGTTTGCAAGTGTGAGCTGATGGCATTGAGAAGAAAGCCTTCATGACAGCTGTCACCAATATCATCATCATTGAGAACTGTGTCAGCTATATCTATTTCTTCAGGAACACTGTGTGATTTCATAGATGAAAGCAGTTCCATTACAGGAATTACTTCACCAGTAAGCATTGGAATAATACTCTGACCCTGATCTTCCATTCTTTCCGTGCCTTCTAAGACTATCTTCTGCACATTTTCTTGCCTTTCCTTGTGCATCCATATCCTTCCTTTCCTGATAATGTGTGTTAATCTATCAACACATACTCTGTGAAGTGGGAGGTAGAAGCTGAGTTCTGTCTGTGGAAGTATAATTGATAGACCGTACGTGCTCCTATCTCCATTCCAGTTTCCATCAAAGATTAACGAAACAATAATTACTCCTTTTTCAGACAAGACAAAAAACTTCACATCTATAGCCCCACTCTCTGCATTTCGGAGGATTTCTCCATTTAAGGTGTGGTTGGCAAGAAAAGTTATTTCTCCATCGCTGAGAAGTAGCTGTTCTGTCTTTGGAGCCCAAATGTGTCTAACTCTAGGACCAAGAATATTGTCCCAGTAAGCAAAAGTAGCTGCTAATAAAGGTGATTCACCACTTAGAGCAATCTCTGTCTTGGCAACAGCTGGAGATGGTGGTGGACAGAGATTCGACATCACTGCATCCCATTTACCGTATTATCCAAATGCTCCAGGGATATCCAGTCGCCACCGCCTGCCACTCAGGCGCCGCAGGCGCAGGGACCGCCTGATTCAGTCGTTTTTAATACCTGCCTGAAAAACAGGAGGAAACACGGTTTCATTTTTTTCAAAGTACCCGTTAAATTCTCCAGAGCACATCATGACCGTCAGCAGTTGTCTAATTTTGGAGGTGGTTTCACCTGTAGGGATTTAAACAGCACCTGGTGAGTCCCTGGTAAAGACAAATAGGACCTCAGGGGATTGAATTTGGTCTTTTGGTCTAGGGTTGCCTCACCTGACCCATGGTAAACGTGGGTAGCTGCAGTTCCCGGTCTGTTGTATATTCTTGCGAGTGTTTCCATGGGGTTCTTGTAGGTTCTTTGGTTTCCTACCTTTCTGGCTTTCCAGCCCTATGGGTTAAAAAATTTTTTTATTTGAGTAAGATTTCCTGTTAGAGGTATATTTATAAACAATGTGTGTACTGTTTTTTTGTATGTTGTAAATCCTACCAAAAGTAGATTAAAAAGATGATGTTAAAAAAGACAAATGAGGGGCGCCTGGGTGGCTCAGTGGGTTAAAGCCTCTGCTTTCGGCTCGGGTCATGATCCCAGAGTCCTGGGATCGAGCCCCGCATCGGGCTCTCTGCTCAGCAGGGAGCCTGCTTCCCCCTCTCTCTCTCTCTGCCTGCCTCTCTGCCTACTTGTGATCTCTGTCTGTCAAATTAAAAAAAAAAAAATCTTTTACCACTGCTAAAAAAAAAAACCCAAAAAACAAAAAACAAGTGAACATACATTTTCTCCATACTCCAGTGGACCATTCATGTACTCCCCAAAGGGCTGCACTTTCCTTCATGGAGCCCCGTGTTGGGTCATAAAGCAAGCAGCGGCAGCTAAATAGAAATCCTGCTCATTTGGGTATGTATTGACTTTGCTTACCTTGACATCATGTAAAGTACAGAGTTGTCAGACCTTGGCAACATGTACCTAAGAACTTGAGGTTATTCATTGGAACACATAACTGGCTAAATAGAAAATAAAGGTTCTTAGATGAAGCAAAGACCAGACAAGAAATGTTCATTGTGTAGACCGGGCACTCGAAGTAGCAAGTGGACTTGTATTCTTATTTTCCTGTCCACCTTTAAGAAAGACCAAGAACTTAGGGTAGGAAGACTACTATCTTACTAACACTCTTGATTTAATTGTGGTTGTTTTAAGAGATTTCAGTGCTAGAGAATCTCATTTTTATATAGGACATTTATAAAAATAAATGTTTTCTCTTCACCTCTGAGCCAGTATTGGACAAATATTTCTCCAGCACCACCACTCTGTGGCTAGCCCTGCACTATGTGCTGGTCATATGGATATGAAGACAGAGTCCTGCCTCTAGCTTGGTCTGCAGGGAGCCACACTATAGAGCTGGCACTGACAGAGAAACTAGGGGAACAGATTGGATAGCCACACAAAGAAAAAAAGAAAGCGTGACCATTTAGGGGATCGGTAGTGGTTTGGTATTATCGCGGTGTGAAAAAGCAAAGGGAGCAAGGGCTAGGCTGGGAGTGAATACCTTCAATTTGATGCTGGACCCCGGAGCAGGTTTGAGTGCTCAGTTGCTCTGGAGACCATGGTTGGAGGGTGTACTGCTAAACCAGAGGGGACGGGCGCCCCTGGGAGATGATGTCAGCCTGAGGTAATTCTATGGTGTTAGGACAGAGAGGGATGGTGCTTGGAAGTTCTTTTGGGAGGTGGATGGGTAGAATTGTCAGATACCGATGATTGTACAGATGGGGAGTAAGGGAGAAACATCTGTGAATATTTTGGAGTATAGATGCTCACGAGGAAGTTTGAGTTGAGAATTTATTTTGGGGAGCATAGGGAGGAATATCTGGTTGTCCATAACATCAAAAAAGAAATGACAGGAGGATTAGGAAAAGTCTTGACAAGTTTGCTTTTCCAAATGAAACTTGAGAGAAATTTGTTTTACTCATTCTAACCTTTCTGAGTTTTCAGTGTGTTACGGATTTGAATGAACACTACTTGAATGAAGAAATCTGAATTTTAAAAAATTTGCCCAGTCAGACCGTCTTTCTAAAGATCCATTGTTAATCTGCAGCATTGGCTCTCAGACCTCAGTGTCAGCGGAATCATTTGGAGGGCCCTTTAAAACAAGATTGCTCAGCCCTATTCCTAGAGCTCTGCATTCTTATGTGGGGGTAGGGGGGCAGCCTGAGAATCTGCGTTTCTAACAAGTTCCCAAATGCTACTGCCACTGGTCCAGGGACCACACTTTGAGAACTACTGCTCTTCAGTTTGTCTCCTGCTCCCTGCTTGAATGATTCACATGCTAGGAGACGAGGCACCACCCGACTTCCTGTAGAATGAACTTTGGAATAGTGTTGGTCCACATAGGAGCCAGACTTTTGTTTATGATTGAATATCCAGATTTGAAATAAACTCTTTTTTTTTCCCCATTGTAGTTGCTCAGTAAATGTTTGTGGAAGGAACAAAAGCATAAGTGATAGTGGAAACTGTGAAATGTGTAACTTTGAAGGAGGCTATCTGGCTTGTGTAAAAACAGAATTGATAATCTGGAGATAACTTTCTTGGACCACTTGGCCCTTTGATCCCCTTTACTTGGTTTACTTTCCTTAATGGATATTTTTCACTTAAAACTTTGTTGGCTTTGGTTGAGGAACTTAAAAAAAATCATTTTTGAGTTCTTTTTATTGTTTCCAAGTTTCCTTGCTTATATTATTACCAATTTGATAGTTACTCTTTGTTTTTCAAGCAAAGGGCACATTTTCAAAGCCTCCCTCTGCCCCTCACGCCTGCTATGTTCAGCCTAGTACCCTAGCGAGAAGAGTCAGGCTGAGGTAAAATAGCTCTTCCCCATTCCCATATGTTTGGGTACAAAAAGGGCATGAATATCACTGAATTTGGTGCCTATATTAAAAGCTTTTAGTGACTTGGGAATAAAAAGCAGGGCATAAGGGCTCTTTTATAGTGACTGAAGTTCGTGGTATATTTTCAGAGTCAGAAGACATCTTAACATTCTCTGTCCCTCACTTGCAGTTGGGGAAATTGAGGCCCAAAGAGGGGAATGATAGGTCCAGAGCAAAACTGGGGGAGCCAGAGCCAAGCCAAAAATTGACCTGGTTCCTGCTCTGTGTTTTTTGGATCATTGTTATCTGTGAGCTGTCTGTAGAGATTAGCTTTAAAGATTAAAACCATAATTGGTGTATGAAAAATAAAAAAGTTAAATAAGATGACCATGATCATGATAGTTGAGACAATCCCAGGAGAAGTATTAAAAAAGTTTTAAAGTCACCTAAAATTCTCATGCTCACTTTACACCAAATAAATAAGCAATAATGTAGATGGCCACTAACAGTGGTAAGGTGGCCCAGATTAATACTGAATTGCCACTGTTCAACTGGAAGGAAAAATAGGCAACATCATAAATTATCCAGGAAAATTGTGAAATGTCCATTATTGAAGATAGACTTGGAGTAGATATCCATCTGTGGTTTGGAAGGAAGCTTTCTCTTTTACCTTAGTTTGGAGTGCGAACAGGTGACCCACTAACTCAGGGCTGCATGCATGGCTTTGAAAAAACAATTGAAAAGAATGATAATATGGACTTTAAAAGGAAAGATTTTTAAAAGCAGACCAGTGAAGAGTGTTTATACAAGAAACGCCTGGCTAAAGGTTTGGGTGAAGCTACTGGTGTTTACTAACTGAGCTTTTCCTAAGAACTGTGAGACGTACTCATTTGAGGCATTTCATAATTCCGGCTCCAGGTTTTTTCCATTGATACAGGTTTAGCAGTTTTGTGAAAAGAGAGCAGGATAGTTCTGAATTTCCAAGAGTCCTGATTTCTTGGTGGACAGGGCTCATCTGCTGAGTCATTTTGTCTTGGAGTGGCCTCATGATCATGTATGGGCTCATGATAGGTCTGCTTTTGACACATCTTGAGGCAGTTGTAGTGACCTCGTTGGATTGATGGTGATCCAAGTATGACTAGTCCCTGAAACTGTGGCTTCATTCCTAGGAGCAGCAGCACAGGAACACTGGAGAGTTGATGTTCCCTCCGCTGTGTCTGTCGAGTTCAGTGGGTGCCGGCTCAGGCTCTCTGCCGGGCTTCAGTCCCATACTTGCTCTTCTTGGGGTGCATCATTAGGGCTTTTGTTTCTTTCCCTGTGGTTGCAGGTTGCCCGTGTTGAGATGTGTTTATAAATTATGTCAAGAAGGGGAAAAAACAAACCCACAGTTAGAAGCAGCATGGTGGGATAGGGCAGCACACTGGAGGTCCCAGAGCTTCTGGATCTCTGAACCAAGAAGCTAACTTCGGAAATCAGTGTAAACTACGATCTGTGAGGTCATCAAAAACGAAACAAAAAACCAAGCCCTCTCTCACCCCTCCCCCAGCAAAAAATGTCTTTTCGTAATTCTCCATAAAGATGTACTCCGGGAGAAAAGTCAAGTCCTTGGTGACTCAGTCTCTGCATATTGGTGTCAGGAGCATGCAGTCATCCTGACAAGTTGTGGAGATCGGGCACGGTGCCTAGGATTCTGTTTTGACGTGAGCCAACAATTGAAACTTTGTCCCCCTTTCTTTGCAGGTGTCTCTTCTATCCTAATTGAACTCGGGTTTTCCGTGTTTTACCTAAACATCTCAAATTTCTCTCTGGCAGATTGCCAAGTGCTATTCATCTGCGCTACCTAATTAGTGATATTCTTTTGTTTTTCCTTCCATTTTTGATGATAATCACAGATGGGCAGTACCCTCAGGGATTCAGGTGGGCTGAATTTGGCCTTATGGTGCTCCTGTACTAACTTACCTTTCTAAATTAAATGATTTAGACTTCTGAAACATTGGAACAGTTGGCAGTTTCTGTATACTTTTCTCAGCATAATCAATTAATGTTGGCCTGCTGTTAGGTACATGCAAGTTTAATCTCATTTGATCTTGTCACTTCAAACATTTTAATGCAATTTATTTTTTAACTAGGTACATGTGAAGATTTCTTGGCAGCTTAGTGTGGAAACCATTGATCACTTTGCTCTCATTTCTGCCTGTTCTGTGTCCGCAAGAGAGAGAGCCCAAATGAGCAAGATAGCCCAGCAGAACAGCTCTCCGGGAATAAGTGTTATTCATACTCAGGCTCATGCCAGCGGCTTACAGCAGGTTCCTCAGCTGGTGCCTGCTGGCCCGGGGGGAGGAGGCAAAGCCGTGCCTCCAAGCAAGCAAAGCAAAAAGAGTTCGCCCATGGATCGCAACAGCGATGAGTATCGTCAGCGCAGAGAGAGGAACAACATGGCTGTGAAAAAGAGCCGGTTGAAAAGCAAGCAGAAAGCCCAGGATACACTGCAGAGAGTGAATCAGCTCAAAGAAGAGAATGAACGGTTGGAAGCAAAAATTAAATTGCTGACTAAGGAATTAAGCGTACTGAAAGATTTGTTTCTTGAGCACGCACACAACCTTGCAGATAACGTGCAACCCACTAGCACTGAAAATACAACAGCTTCTGATAATGCAGGCCAGTAGACCTCACCTCTTCAAAACTTCACGACTCGTGGCTTGAACGTTAAAGGTGTGACTGCCTACACCATTCGTATCAATGGCTGAACACGGTCTCGTTCCATTATTCAAAGATCCACTGAAGGTTGTTTTCCAGGATCAGCACTGAAGGGTTGATAAGCTTAAAAATGTTAGCCATGTAATTTGAATATCTAGTTTTAAATGATAGGGATTTTTTTGTGTGGTTAAAACACATTTTTAAGGTATATGGTTAAAAAAAAAAAACAAAAAACACACCCCTGGACCTTGATGTTCTTAATAAATCCTCACTTCCCAAGAAATGCTTCTTTTGTAGGTTGATAAAAGGAATGGGGAACTGGCAGATCCTGCAGAAGGGTCTTGGTTTTATTGGAGATGATTAATTAGACTAAGGAAAGTTGAATGCCATCTATGTTGATTGTGTTGTGATTTGTTTTTCTAAATTATGTATTAAAAATCCTTAGGGCTATAGAAATCAATCACTTTGTAATTTGGAGTGATTTTATGTATAACATAAACCTTGTTTTAGCCTAATTAGTACTCTTTTCCCCCAACAAGTGTAAGTTTTTTTTTTTTAGTATTGGTGCCAGGTTAAGTAAATTCTGTTGCGTTTTAAAGGCAGCATTCTGCCAGTTGGCTTAAAAATGCAAATAATTAGGCAAATAGATTTCCTAAAAATAACAGTAAAGCATATTAGAATTATCCTTTTGGGATACCTTTGGGTTATTGGATTGGCATTATTTTGTTTTCTAACAAGAAAAAACCCCCAAGAGTTGTATATCACAATTTTTGTTTCTGTAGATGGTGGTCAAATAAGTAAATATTTTTAAAATACCATTTTGACAGTCAAGTTAGTAAACAAATGCCTTAACAGTTTACAGATTGGGATTTAGGTAGTTTCTCCTGTGTCTAAATATCTGAAATGGAGCCATGATTTTTAAAGGCATAAATTTCTTATGAAGGATCATTTGGCATTTGATCCTAACCAAGTGATTATTAGAAAAATATGTCATCAACTCTATGCTGTCTCCCAAAATAGTAGTCTAAGAAAACTTGAAGTGTAAGGTTTAACCTTTAATTTATTTCACTTAAATACATCTTTTTATATTGTTTTTGTGATGTTTCTTTTTCTAGTTAGTGGGCTCTTATAGACTTTTTGTACCACTGCTTCTGTTTGTTCATTTGTATGCTTTTGTGTCCCATAAATTATTTTAGAAAGAAAATACTGGTAAAACTCAGGATAGTGACATTTTTGTTGAGACTAAAAAATGGCCGTCGCTAAAGTCGGGGATTGCGCAGGTCTGGTTTATGTCAGTGTCAGTGGTTTTGATTGTCCTTGTCGATTTCTTTCTTTTCTTTTCTTTTCCTTTTTTTTTTTTTTTAAAAAGCACAATCCTAGCTCAGATTTGTTGACTTTTGTGTATTACTGTGTGTATGTGTCTGGGCTGGTGACAAGAGACAAGAGTCACATCTGATTAAAAAGTTTGTGTTGGGCGCCTGGGTGGCTCAGTGGGTTAAAAAGTTTGTGTTCCCAGGTGTCTTATTTGGACATGGTCACTTCATTTTTGGCCATATTGTTTCTTACTAGGACCTAGAAGTTGTCCCCTTGGATTGGTGCAAGACTGCTGTCTTTGCTCTTCTGGGCCAGCGGAAATACCATTGTGACCTGCAACTCAGTAAAGCCATTATTAAGGCCATGAGCCTCTTCCACATGTGACTGGAACCCAGTGTTGTTCATGAGAGCCACTGTCCCGGGCGGGTTAGCTCCTCGGAGGGCCAGAAGACAGGATTGAGGTTTCTGTTAGGGTCCAACACCAGTTTACTCTGGCTGGAGTATCAGTCTGCTTCTCAGTCGATAGATGTTTTGACTAGGAGGTAACCCACAGAATCCTACTGAATCTTTAATAGCTGACTGATGTTATATAATTAACCTAAGTAGAGGTGCATTTAGGTCACTTGAATCTTTAAGTACCTGTGAAGGTATTAACAGACATTGTTACCTCTTGTTTACTAAAAAAAAAAAAAGTCAGAAATTGATGTCCCTGTGGAATTTATGGTTACCAGTTATATGAATTGACTTAACTATCTTGGAAAAGGAGCTTTAGGGAAATCATCAGTGGTGTGCACTCGATATTTCAAATCCGAACAGATTGAAACTTTAGGAAAAATTGATTCAAGCTTTCCTGTTACCTATGCAAACCAGAACTTGAGCACAAGCCATCATGTGTGCATAGAACAAAAATGTTAACCATTGTCTTACTTAAGTGTTTGGGAATGAAAGTTTGCAGTTTGATAGATTTCTCAGTATCAAATTGAGGGAAACCAAGTATGGGGAATGGGTAGATTTAGAGCCTTGGGAATTATAAGATGACTTTTGTAACTTCTGTAGGTTACATGTGAACCTTTAGGATTTGATCTGCCTTTGCTGGCAGGTCTAGTGATTTAAGAATTAGGCTTAGTGTAAATGTCTAACTGCATCTGCGTCATCCGAGATGGGTGCTTTCTGGGTGGTACTGGCAACAGGTGGTGAGATCAGAGCAGCTCTTCCACTGACTGGCCCCTTGCGGTGACTGGAATGCGAGCTGGGATACTTTGGACCTTACCAAGACGTAGTAAGATAGCGATTTTTTATGACCAGGTGTTTGAAATTTAGGTCACAAGTGTGAAATCCTGAAATATACATAAAAAAGTAGTATGTGCAGTTTAATATTTGGTATTAAATCAGCTTTTGAGGTTTCTCAGTCCCCATTAGAGGGCTTGAAACTTTGTACCTGAACAGCCCAGTTAGCACTCAGAGTGCTTTTCGATGCCTTAGAATAGGAAGCAATTTTTTGTGTGACAGAAGATAGGGAGGAGAAAGTCTATTCTATAGCTGTTAGAGTTGCCTCTCAGGTAAAAGTCCTTTACCTTGTTCTTTGTGTTCCTGGCCTTCCTCAGTTTGTGAGATTACTCTATTTTTTTAAATATAATTTTATTTCTTTCAATGAATTTGAAATAAAAAAACTTTGGAATAATGACTGTATTTTCTTGTGGGTTTCTTTCTGTTCATATACACTGAGGAAGTAGTCCAGATGTCCAGGAGCTCTGAAGAGCAGGCAGGCTCAGCCGTCTTTCCTGCTCCCAGCCCAGGGCAGGGGTGAAGGTCACTGACGGGTGGAGGAGGGCGTGGGGGGGTGGGCAGGGAGCAAGAGGTGCTTTTGTCCAAGCCTAGATTTCCCTGATTGGATAGGAACATCATTTCCTCCGAATATAGAGTGCCTCTTCAGGGCTGTTTTTTGTCCGGTGGTCTCTAACCCGGAAGCCTGGGCTAGGGTAGAGAAGGCAGTGGCTGGCACGCCTGCTCAGATGCCTCGTGTCTTGGTGTGTGGTCTGCGTTCACACAGTGGCAGGAGAAATGAGTTCTTGAGGCTTTGAAGTAGATGGCAATGTCGAAGTAAGGCCTTTCCCCTAGCAGCACAATTTATAGCGTGTACCTCGTCTTCATTTACGTGGTGCTGTAGAGTGTCTCTACAAATGAATGAGTCAATACTGAATCCATGCTGATTTGAGTGTTTCAAGGGAAGATGTCATTTAGAGACTCTTCTGTGATCCTTCAGCCATTTTCGTGTCTTGGGAAATAGGTTTCTACCTACTGCATCTAAATGGCAATTGTAGTGCAGTAATTATTTCTGTGGGTAGTACGTCCTATTTTACAAAGTAGGTGTAATTTGGAAGCCCATAAACAGTTTGTCTTGGGAAATTTTCTGTAGAGATGGTTTGTGAAAGTGACAGCTCTTATTTCAGCAAAAGCACTTTCGGACCTGCTTGGTCACTGCCAGCGAGTATCTAGAGCCCGTGGGCACCGTGTGTGTACTCAGAGGAGACCACCAGCCCCAGGTCATCTCCTACTGCCCCACACACTCCTCCCGCAGCTCTAGGCCTGGAAGCTCTGCAGTGGTGCCCGGAGGGCCCGGGGTGCAGAACTGGGCTTGGAAGCCAAGGGGCATCTGGCCAGGCCTTCCCGCTCTGCCACCTTTCCCTTCTACTCCCGGAATGTGTGTCCCCTCCCTCCCCCACCACACAGAACCATCGTCTCTTCTTGCCCGGACTTGGTCTCCTTGGACCACTGCCTGCTCTCTGGAACCTTCTTTCGTTCCCCACTGCACCCAGAGGGAAACCCAGTCTCCTTGTGACATGGCTCCCTTGATCTGTGGACTTGCTTTTCTTCTGTCCTCTGTCCCCTATTACTTTGCTTTGGCCGCAGGGCTCTTCCAGGCTCTTTCCAGGCTGCCTTCGAACAGCTCATGTCATCATGCCTCATTTAGTCTCGCTTTTCCTGTCGCAGCCCAGCCCCCTGACTTTCAAGACAAGGCCAGCCCTGTTACTTTCCTTCATGGCACTTTTCCGTGAAGAGATTTGTGCTTGTTCAAGGCGAAGCCTCTCGGGGAACCCACAGGCTCAGAGAGCAGGGGCGCGGTGGGTTTAAACTACGCTGGCCCAGAGGAGATGCTTAGTTATTGAGTGAATGAATATGCAGATCCAGGGTTTCAGAAGGCTTTTTGAGTGCTGTTCGGCTTTCTGGAAGGGTCTCTCAGGTGTTTCTGAAGCTGTATACATTTCTGCATACAGAAATGGAGGTGTGAGGAGTTGGGTGCAGAACACGGGATAGAGTGGGCTCTGCCGGCCACCCGCGCCCCGCACCACCGGAGGGGTTCCTACTCCCTGACCCCGGCAAGACCAGTCAGACCTATGCTCCCAGCACCCCTCTGCAACAAAGAACATGTAGTTACTGGGAATTGCCCCTTACTCATTTGACCTTCTTGCTTGGCAGTCACAGAAAACGTATGTGAAACAGGCAGTTTTGGTATGAGGTGTCTGAAGGAAAGGAAGGGGAAAGATGTGACGCAGCTGGCTCTGTTTCTTCCCACAAACAAAACTGTCCCTTTAGCGTGCCGGCCTCGCTTTAACCGGGTTTCTCTCGGGGTGAGGACAGGTGAAACCCCGGATGGCAGAACGTGTCCCCAACAGGTGCAGCTGGGGCAGAGAAGCCTTGGTGAATGGAGATTCCTGACACTCAAGACCGTCACTGCCAACCGCTCAAGGTCACAGATAACTTAGGGACTGCCTGTGCACGTAGGAAGCCTAAAAACGTGGCTGTGATCAGTCTGAGAAGCCAACGAGATAAATGGTGATTTGGAACCGAGGTGGTCTCATTTTAATGTGGTCACTTTGCAAGCACTTTTGTGTTAGAGCCACAGGAAGAAATTGGTTTGTACTCAACGCTTCCGGGACATCTCAAAAGGCCTAGTTTGGCCTACAGAGTTTACCACCTGTCGGGGTTTCATCTCTGGTGTCCCTTCACCTTGGCTCGGAAACTCCTGGATGAGAGCGCTGTGGAGAGACAGGCCCGGAGCGGTTTGGCACAGAGCTTCCCAGCTTCTGGCCTGGGCAGGCCGTGGGACGGGGGACTGGGCCAGCAGAGGTGAGGATAGGCATTATGCCATCGGCCGGGACTGGGCTTAGCTGGCCCCAGAACGCTCCCTGCCTGAGTGGAGTTTGGTCCGTGGGGTTACAGTTAGGGAAGACAAAAGGTCTGAGCAAACATGGAAGACACGAGAAGGCTCACCTCTGCCACGGAGCTGCCCTAGGTGGCCGTATCGTTCGGGTGGATGCCGGCTTTGCTAGCATGTCCCTATGGAAAGGGCACCAAGGACAAGACATCCCTGCAAGTCTCGGGTTTTACAGAACTGTGCCTTAAGTGCCACAAAAAATTCTGCCCCCTTCCGAAATCGAGCTTTCTGGTAGTAGCCACGTGGAAAAGGCTTCTTCCTCCACAGGTTCACTGTGTAGGGTAGCGCCAGCCCTGGGTCCCAGCAGCTTCTAGGTCCGCGCATGCCAGGCTCTGCTGCCGGGCGAGAAAGAACAGGGAGGAAGTTGTGTACAAAGGACCATTTTTGGTAAGTTTTTATTGCAGATTCTACTCTGCGCATTTGATTTTTGAGAGAAAACACTGGAAATGGATCTTCCCTGAGCAGAATAATACAAATGACAGCAAGACACATCTTAGTTGCTGCTAAAGAGCAGAATTCTTTTCCATTAGCACTTTAAGCCACCGTCATTCAAGCAAAGTAATAGCAGGTTCAGGTGTGATTGCAGAGGGTTGAGTCCCACTCCCCCAAGGAAACAGCTCAAACTTGGACACAGCCATGGGATTTCTGAGCACCCCTCTCTTGCCGCTCGAGGGCCAGGCAGGAAGCTGCCCGTTGTGAAGACAGGTGGCAGGCTGGGTCCCTGGTCCCAGTGGGCACTCCCAGCTGGCTCTACTTGGGGCCAGAGAAGGGAGTGAAGGCCTTGTCCCTGCCTGCCATGCACGCTTCAATCTCCTCCACCGTGCGGGGTACACAGGTCAGCAGTTCCATGCCGCTGGCGGTCACCACGACATCCTCCTCGATCCGGACCTGCGTCACAATGACAGACACTCATGGGGGCGCCGGGCGGGGGCTCAGTGGGTTGAGTGCCTGACTCTTGGGTGTCGGCTCAGGTCATGATCTCATGGGCCCTGGGATCGAGCCCTGTGTCGGGCTCCACGCTCAACAGGAAGTCTGCTTGAGATCCCCCCCCCCCCCCCCACCGCTGACCGACCCTGCCCCTACTCAGACGCATCTAAAAAGAAAAACTGGGAAGAAAAAAAAAAAAGAAAAAAAGAACAACAGACACTCTCATTCCTTCTGAGCTCTGGCCTCACACACTAGATTAGAGGGTCAGACCAGCCGCTGGTTAGAGGCGTCCCTTCTGAGGAGCGGCCTGTCCTGCCGGGGATAAAAGGGGCTGGCCTCCAGGCCTCTGCGGGGGCCCGGTGAGAAGCAGGGTCCTCCCCCAGGGCCATCTGTTTGCCCGGTGGGCGGGGGTGGGGGGCGTCGGGGGGAGGGTTTGTAGAATCTGCATCTGTCTTGACAGACCACGGGAAGGCACAAGCCGGATCCTTCTCAAGAGAGGAAGTGAAGTGTCCGCCCTCCCACCAGGGCTCTTGTCTCGAGACGATGGGGTGATGCGCCGCGCCGCAGGGTGCGCGTGCGGGTGTCCTGGGAGCCGGGACGTGGGGCCTGTGGGCACTCACCCCGCCGAATCCCCGGAAGCGCTGCAGGACCTCGCGGTTGAAGAAGCAAGCGCGGGCCGGGTCGGCCAGGGCCTCGTCCAGGAGGTGGTCGATGAAGTAAATGCCCGGCTCCACGGTGAGCACCATGCCGGGCTCCAGGTGCCGTGTGGTGCGCAGGCTCCGCAGGCCGGGCTCATCGATGCGCTCCACACCCTGCGGGGAGAGGAAGGGCTCAGAGCACTGCAGTGTGGACGGAGGGCTGCGTGCCGTGGCGGCAGTCGGATGGCCACAGGCCCGCCGGGCGAGCCCTCCCTGCATCCAGGAGCGCTGGCGCTGGCCCCAGGGGCTGCGGAGACCCTCCCCTCTCACAGATACCCCTGGGCTTGGCCGGTTCCTGCCCCCTTGTTAACCCCAGCATGACTACGAAGCCCCACGGACCCCCACGTGCACAGACCTGGGGGAGCTGCCCTAGCCCGCTGGCCTCCCCCAGGCCCCGTCCCGGCTAGACAGATGGCAGAACCAAAAAGCTCTTAAGGAAACTTCGACACTTCCCATGCTGGGTCCCACTCCCCCAGGATGAGACCCAGGTTTTCCCTGGGGCCTTCCAGGAGGAGGGACAGGTGCTGTCCCCAGGGTGGGCCTGCAGGCGCCAGCGGTTGTGGACATGCACGGATGCATGCGGAGCCCGTGTGCGTGGCCCCGGGGCTGAGGCTCCAACAAGGCTCCGACCCGGCCCCCGGCCCAGGCCCCTGAGCTAGTGGGCAGCTAGTAGCCTTCCTGGTCGGGCTGGGAGCCTGCCCTGCCCCACTCGCAGCTCCCCCCTGGAAGCCCAGCTGCTGGAGACAGAGCTGTCATTTCTGACTGTTTGGGGGCCAAGAACATCAGACTTCAATTAGTGGTTCATGTAAGGTAACCAGAAACAGGCTGGCTCGGCCTCTGCAGCTGGGCACAGCAGGGAAGCCTGTGACCGGGATTCCGTGAGGGTGGGGATGGCGGGACACACAGGGGAACTCGTGCACAACCACCCTGACCTGGCGTGAGCTGGGCTGGGGCGGAGGAGAGGAGGGGACACCAAGGCACCGTGACCCCTGATGCCTCCTGCTTTGGGCACAGATGCCTGTGTGGAGTAGCACCCGACCCCGTGACACTTTCTGCCCACAGGGGCGAGGCCGGAGGGCCGGGGATGCATCCCTGGGCTCAGAGGGGAGATGCTGTGGGGCCGGCCAGCGGCCTTCGGCCATCTCAAGTCTGTGCCTGTCCCTTTCCCTCCATCCCAAGGTCGTCAGAGCCAGGGGTCCAGCAGAGGCAGCAAACCGGTAGGCTCAGGTCTCCCCGCTCCCCCTTAGCCTCTGTGGGTGTGCCCAGGGGAGGGCGGTCTGCTCAGGCTTGGACAGAAACAAGTCCTCTGGAAATTTCAGGACCAGCCCTCCAATTGTGGGTGAGGGGAGAGAAGGAGGGGCCCCTGCCACAGCCCACCAACCCTTATCCCTTCAGAGCATTAGCTCCCAGGAGTCTCCTGCCACGGAGGCCACCCGAGCAGGCCCTGGCAGTGTCGGGGGCTGCGCTGCGCAGAGCAGCCCCCCCAAGGGGAGAGGCCAAGCTCGCTTCCCTCCAGCTCCAGGCCGTAAGCCCTGGCGGCAGTGGGGGGCGCCTGCCCGTGCCGCGTCCACACCAGCTTCCGCCAGGGCAGCGGGCCGGACGGGGCCTCTGCCTTTACAGGGCGGAGGAGACCCAGATGTGTCTGAAGGCCTGAAATAAAACAAATGACTTTTATAGGAAAAGCCATATTTTTTCTACAATGTTTATCTGTCAGAAGAATAGACTCTGCGAGCACAAAGGGCCGCTTACTGGAAAAGAGAAAACAGTTTGCTGCCAATTTTCTCTGGTGGAAAAAAGCGCTCTGGCGACTAATGAATAACGAATCTCAGTTAACAATGTCTGGAAGGCCCTGCTCTTGGCTCCCTGTACACAATGTGATGGATAGAAATTAGGAAATTAAAACTGATTTTGTTTCTCCAAATTTAACTGTTTACACTTGAGGAAAAAAATAATTGAATAATAATGCTTCTCTTGAGCAATCCCCCCCCCCCCCAAAATCATCCTTCGTGCTTTCAAAATACCCTGCAGCCAACAGGCCCGGCCTAGTCTTGGCTAACCGGCTGGTGGGCCCCGGGGCGTGCACCGATTGCATAATCAGCCCCCTGCACCTTGGGCTCCGGGCCAGGAGGCAGGGCCGGGCTCACCCCCACCCACCCGGGGCCCGGAAAGGCTGCAGCCACCTGCCGGGCAGGGCCTCCCCAAGGCTGGCTGAAAGCACCCTCTGGGTGGTCCTTTCAAGAATCCGCGGGTAGGAAGGGGAGGGGAAAGCCTTGTCTGGAAATGCCCACAGAAGCCTCCCTCCCCTGCTAAGGGGGCCTGGAGGGCCTGCAGACCAGGAGGCCACGGGGCCGTGCTGTGCTGGGATTGCTGCCAGGCCCGTGAGCAGCGCTGGGCTCTGCTTGCCCCAAGAGGGACCTGGGTCAGCCGCCTCATGGCAGTGCCTCACCGCCCTGGCCTGTGTGAAGCCAGAGGCAGGACATGATGGCTGTGGTATCCCGAAGACCCAGCTCTCGGGTTCCCACTGCTCTGTGGGAACCAAAGATCTACCACCCCGTAGGGCAGGGGCTCCCCACCCTGTGCATAGCCCGGGGCTCACCAGGCAGAGCACACATATTTGCCACCAGGCCCCAAGGCGGGGGCCACCAGAGGCAGCATGCTGGCACACTTTTGGGAACGCCCCTCACCCCACCCCCGCTGGTGCCCACAGCAGCCCAGGGCCGGCACAAAGCAATGGGTGCAAGGAGAGGAGGGGCAGGGGGTGCTCTGGGACCCCATTTCTCTTTCTCTGACCTTACTCCACCCCAGCTGGCTCCCAGAGCCCTGGGGAGGGCCACTCACACTCACGTGTCCACACTTACCTCAGGGTAGCCTCCCACATCGTGCACATCAATGCCCAGGAAGTGGCCGAGCCCGTGAGGCATGAACACGGCTCCCAGGTGGGCCTGGACCATGGCGTCAATGCTGCCGCTCAGGAGGCCGATGCGGGCCAGCTCCTCCAGGTGGATGCGGTCGGCCAGACGGTGCATGTCAGGCCACCAGACCCCTGTGGCTCCAGAGGAGGCTATGATGAGCTGTGGAGCGTGGCCGCCTGGCCGAGGCTCCCCGAGGGAAGGTTTGTGGGACCCACGAAGCCCCCGGGCAAGCTGAGGCGGGAGGGCTGGAAGTGGGTGGCACAGGTGCCGTGCCCGGGCCAACTCTAAGGGATCTCAAGACCTTCCTCTCCATCGCACCTTCAGGGGTAGGCTTCTGTTGCCCATGGCCAGATGCCCAGCTTAGGTCTCATCCCCAGCCCATGCTATGTCTGCCCTCGGCCAGTGCGGGCTTCCAGGACCAGGGGAGCCCAGGAAGATCCCTCATGAGCAGCAGCAGGACAAAAGCATCTGTCCCCAGCAAATGGGGGGCAGCCTCACAGAACCCCACACCAAGCTCAGAGCGTCAGGCTGTGGGGGGGCATCCCTGCACACCCCAAAGTGGGGCTGATTCACCCCTAGAGCCACTGGGGAAAAAAGGTTTCCAGGGTGAAGGTGCAGCTGGCACGGCCTGGCTGGCAGGGGTCTGCGGCCCTGCCCGCTACGAGCAGGGGTGGACCATCTCCGTGGCAGCCCAGACACCCAGACTCCTGATCAAACTCATCTTTGTCCCATGTTTCCGAGGCAAAGGTCACCGTGGAGAGCACGTCCCCGGGCACCGAGTTTCGGGGTGAGCAAGCTCCAGGGGCTCCACCCAGGGCTCTCAGACAGCTGCCCGCAAAGAGCCCATGGGGCTGGGGAGTCCCCACCTTCAGCCTCACTCTGAGGCACTGGGCACTTGGCCTAAGCACCCCACAAGGATGGAGGCCGGCGAAGCTCCCTGCCCCACCCCGCCGGGCTGAGTTTGGGGCAGCCACGTGCCGGCTGAGGCCAGTGTGCCAGGCAGACAAGGTGGGGGCACACACCCCTGTGCAGTGCTCCAGCCAGAAAGGCCAGGGCCGGCCCTCGGGAGCGAGCCTGACTCCCGGGAGGCATCCCCACGACGCCCTGCCGTCCTCACCCTCCACCCGCCTCACGACGGATGATGGATGACGGAGCACCCCAGCATTCCACACCATCGGGGGCCTGGCTGGGCCCTGTGCTGGCAAGGGCTGGGCTGGCAGGGCTGGGCTCAGGACTCTGAAACTCTGTGGCTGGCAGGGGGTAGCCCAAGGGCTCTATCCAGGAGGAGAGAGAGAGGAGAGCCCACTTGGGGACATGGGGCATGGCCCCTCAGACATGCACTGGGTTCCAGGCCTCCAGGTGGGCCCCTTCCACACCAGGGCAGAGGCCCCACAGTTGGGGTCTTGGGCGGGACAGAGGCACAGAGCTGACCCAGCCTCCCCAGGGTCTGAGCAGGAGGCCCACTCTGGGGGCAGTGGCCAGCTCCTGGCCACAGGCACAGGGAGGCCGAGAGGAGACGACCCATCTCTAGAGAGAGCTTCCTTGGAGACCAGCTCCCGAGTCCTGTTCTGTTCTACCTGCCAAGGGCCACAGGGTGCCGTGGAGGAGGTGGCATCCCGGGCTCTGGCTTTACCCGCATGCACAGCAGAGAGCCCGGTTCTAAGCCCTGGAGACAGAGCCAGGTGGGAGGCTCTGGGACAGTTGGGCATCCTCAAATGGAAAGCTGGGCACTGGATCCCAGCTCAGCAGCTCGCCCGCCTCCCTGAGCCTCAGATGCCTCTCTTTGTCACGAAGAGCTGCGATGCTGGCCCTAGAAAGCCAGCTGCAGAGGCTCTGGCCTGTACCAGGGGTCAGTAGCCCCCCGAGACTGTCACTGGCCCACCCAGATGCCCGTTCAACCCTTGATGTTGGCCATGCTCCTGGGGCACCAGCCTGAGCCTCGTGTCCTCGCTCCTCCCTGAGGCTGACCGGGTCTACCTCGCCGTTCCCAAGCCAGGCCACCTGTCACAGAAGCACACGGAGGCCTGAATCAGCCCCCTGCCTGCAACTCAGGCCCTGGGGCTCGGTCAGCACTCCCTCCCCACGGTCCCGGTTATGCCCCTCCCTGCACCCTGTCCCCCAGCCGGGCCTGCCGGCTTGCTTCTCTTATCTCTGGACCAGAGGGCCGCTGCCTCCCCTGGGCACCCCAGGCCTGGCCTAGCAAACGCTGGTTCAAGGGAGAGTACAGCAGGCTCCTCCCAAAGTTCTGCTCCTGTCCCCGGGGCTCTAGGCCGAAAAGCGCCCCGGCAGTTCTGCAGACTCGCTCCTGGCTGGCCTGGCCCCTGGGGCGGAGGAAAGGCATCCCTGGCGGCGGCTGACACCCCGGCTCCACAGCAACTCCGCTTCTCTTGCCTTTTTGGGTGGCTAGAGGGGAGCCCCAGGAAGTAGCCTGATGTTGAGCCCGGCCGACTTCCAAGTGGGCTGTGGCCTCGGCAGAGCGGGGAGTCAGGTATAAATCACACTCTGTGCCGGCAGCTCGGCTCCTCTCCTGTCCTCCCGGGGCCGAACGCGAGGGCCCCAGGCGGTCCCCATGGCGCCTCCCATCCTCCTGGCCTGCGCTCCTCGGGGCTGGTCTTGCACACGCGCTCGTGGCTGGCAGGGGGCTGCTGCCTGTGTGTGGTTAGGGTTGTGACAGTGATTCAACCTCCAGCAACTTGGCCCCAGCGTCTGGCCCGGATGCTGGTTACGACACCCTGGGCCAGGGCAGGGGCCCCGAAGTGTATGAAGGTTGCTGTCCTTGGGCTAGGCTGGAGGAGTGGATGCGCTCCCCCGGCCCCACCGAGCCCTCCGTCAGCAGCCATCAGGCACCTCGGGGCCCATGTGGCCAGCCGGCCGGAAGGCCCGGTGGTCCCCTCGGGCCGCTCGTACTGCGGATGGACGCCACACTGGGGAGCACACTGCAGACTGGGCGTCACCAGCCCTGCCCGCCCTCCTCCCTCCAGCAAGCACCGAAGCTTGTCGCCTTTGCCCTGGACATCTCCTGAATCTGACTCCTGATCCCTGTGGGCCTCTTGCTGCTTTCCTGCAGTGCCTCGTTCCCCCTGTATTCTGCACGAAGCTGGGCCCTGCCCTGTGGACAGAACCCCAAGTTCCTCAGCCTGGCCTCCCTCTCACCCGCCCCTGTGCCCCCAGCCCCGGTGGTGCTGGCACTGCCCTATGCCTTCCACCTAATGGTCCCTTAGCTGGGACCACCTCGACAAAGCCCCTCCCTGCCCATGCTCACTCCCATTCTTCTTGTGGGCCTCTGTTAAGGCTTTCTCCAGGAAGCCCTCCCTGACTGCCCCTTCCTGTGCTGTCAGAGCTCTTCCCGCCAGAGGATGGCATATAGGCCCCGCTGTGGCCTGGTCAAAGCCTGTGCACTCAGAGAGGAGGGACCCTCTCCATGAGGTGGAGGTCCTGCTCCATGCCTGACCAATGGAGGCCTAAGGAGGAGCCCTGGCTGCAGCCGGTGCTGTCACCTCATGGGCCCGGGATCTGTGTGCCCCCGCCCCTCTGCACACTCAGACCCCAGGGTGCCAGCCTAGCAGCTGGGTTTGCGCCTCCCACCCTCTATCTGGCTGTGGGCTCCAAGGGACCAGAGCCCTGGTGCCCAGGCCCCAGTGTATGCCCAGAACAGCCCCAGGTCATAGCTGGTCTTCTATGCCCCTGATGCCCCTGAGGCGACATCTTCACCCGATGGGGCCCAGGCCCAGGCCCAGGCTGGCTCCTTGGAGCCTTGGTGGCTGAGGCCTCCTGCCCAGAGTGCGGCAGATTCAGGGCCTCGGGCCTGAGCTCGGCCAGGAAGGCCTGCAGAGCTGAAGCCTCACAATCCAGACAAAGAGCTCACTTCATCCAAAGACAACGGCCCTCAGGAGACCCTGTGTGCGCCAGGCTCTGGGGGTGCCGCAAGCAAGGCGCGGGGCCGGGTCCCAGGGTAGGCCCGTGGGCTGCGGGGAGGGAGCTGTCTGGTAGGCCAAGCTGGCGCGGGGCTGAGGGCCTCCAGCCACCAACCCCCCCAGACCCCTCTGCTGCCAGGATCTCCGGGGACCCATTCACCCTGCAGGAAGGGCAGGGGGCAGTGTGTCGCCCGACTGCAGGCGCCTCCGTGCTAAGCAGAGCAAGGCTGCTCCGGAAGCCTGTGTGCCACACCCCCACCCCTCCCGCGTAAAGGAGGCCAGGGAGGGTGGGAACTTGCCCACCACCCTACAGCCAGCAGGGGGCTCTCAGGGCAGCAGGGCCACACGGGGGCCCTCACCAGTCAGCCCTCCCTGCCCTGACTCCTGCCACAGAGGAAGCCCATGTGGCGCTGTCCCCGCACCTCCGTCTGCCGCACCCCTGCATGCGTCGCCATCTCTAAGGAGAGGCTCCAGGAGAGTGACCACTCCAGCCCATCGGGAGGCAAAGCTGGCAGAGGCACCCCCACCACAGGCCATGGCAGACATGTGCGGGGCCACAGGGGCACCTCCTTCTCTCCTCCCATTGGCTGCACCTCCCCTCCATGCAGGTGACCGGGACCCTAACCGCTGCAGAGCAGGGAGAGGGGGGAGCTGTGCACACCTGCTCACTGGAGTAAGGGAGCGATGGGGGGCTTGTTTGCATAGAGACTCCCCCACCGCTTTCGCAGCCCAGGAGCGGTGGGGCTCTGAGCCCAGGATGCACTCCACACCCTCTCTGCAGGGCCCCAGTGGGGGTGTGGGGTCAGGGGTGGGGCTTGGGGGGGCCTGTGGCCTAAGCGCAGGAGGCCAGGGTGGGCAGGTGAGCCCAGAGAGAGAGGAGCATCTGGCAAGTGGGAGGCAAGGCTGCAGGGGGCCTGGGGACTTCAGTCGCCCTGACTGCTCTGCAGTGGTGGGAGGCACAGAGGCTACAGAATGGCCCCACGGCAGTGGCCCACGGACACCCTTCTCTGAGGTGCTCCTGCTGGGATCATCCAGGCCTCCCTCGCAGGGGTTGAGCGGTCCCCGTGGCACACCCACTGGTCTGTCCCAGGTGGGCCGCCGGGCCTGACACAGAACCCAGGGAGAGCTCGATTCCAGAAGGCAGCATAAGGCCCCTCCTGCAGGGCGGGCAGGCATGGCGGTGGCGTTCTCCGGGATGCCGCGCCCTCAAACCCTGTGCGGTCCCTCTCTGTGAGCTCAGCCACCCTTCCCTGGCTGTCTGGGGGACAGGGAGGAGCGCCCCCCTGCCCCCCGATCCCAGGTTCCGTGTGTGCTGCAGTCGTGCTGTGCGGCTCCTCTGGGCACTAGCTGCACCCCGGCTGTCCATTCACTGTCCCCTGCGAGCCGCAGGAAGCAGTCGTGCAGTCTCTGTGTGTGTGTGTCTTGGCCGAGCAGCTGAAGCCACAAACCAGGGGCATTTCCGCTAGCACAGGACATGGGGCTGACCTGGCCACGGCCTCCTTGCAGCTCTGGGGAGGTGACCTGTCCCCATTGGAGCAGCCCTGCTTGACCGGTGCCACATGGGACCCAACAGGGTCAGCCCTGGGGAACTGCCGGTGGGGTGGTCAGCGCGTCACAATCCCCAGCCCTGGTAGGAGAGGAAGCTAAGGCCCCAGTACAGGCCCGGCCTGTGCCCCACTGTGTGCTGGGGGAGGCCCCCCTCATGCGGTGTATGGAGATGGGCTCAGCTGAGCACAGCCTGGCCCGGCCTGAGGCCTTCTGCCTGTCCCGAGAGTACGCAGGGGAGTGTGGGGTCAGAGCACCAGGCCCTTCTCAGGCAACTGGGGCTCTGCGGACTAGCCTGTGGGCTGGCCACTCTCTGGGCAGGATCGGGGCTGCCCTGTCAGTTGGCCAGGACAGCGGCTGGGGAAGTGCTACCCACGTCCCAGCAGACTTTCTTGTGGATGGGTGGGCAGGTGGGGGTAGGCCAGCCTGGGCCCTCACCCCCGTCTCAGCCCCGGGCAGAGGCTAAGCAGGGCCAGGGGCCCGAACCCTGAAGCTCCGAGCTGAACAAAGAGACCGCCTTTCCGAAGCTTCGCCTGCCATCCCTCCAACCCTTGCCCTCCCTCCCCAGCACCAGGCACTGGTTGGCCTGACTTTGCCTGCCTGGCTCTCGAGTGTGGACCTGGTCTCCCGCCAGCCCTCCCTCACTGAGCTGCAGCCCACCCCCACCACCTCCTCGAGGGACCCAGCATGGGGGGTCGGGGCACAGGGCCCCTCACGGGCTCACAGACAGCAGATCCTGGCTCCGACCTCAGAGGGCGGGGGCGCCAGGCCTTCCAACTCTTGGCCTGGACTTCAGAACATCTAAATTCACAACTGCTCCTGCTGCGGGCCACGGGGTGGAGGGAGACACTAGGGAGCGCCCCCACAGCACCGGGCTGTGGCATAGAGAGTGAAGAGAGCAGGGAGGGTCATGGCCCCCAGGTGACTGGAGACGGTGTCTCCAGGCAGGACTTCACTGGGAACAGGGGATGCCTCCCTGGTTTAAAGGTCAGACCCCCTCTCCCCCTGCCCATGGGGGGGCCCCCAGCCCATTCCTTCCAGCGCCCTTCCTGTACCTCCCCCACAGGGGAACCGGCCACCGCATCCCATGCTCTTCTGCCTCCATGCAGCAAGCGTCTGGAAGGTTCCCTGTGTTTGCGCTCCCGGGCTGACTAGGCTTCTTAAACAAGTGATGAACACAAGATCCCCTTTCCTTCTGCAACCACCAAACCACCCAAGTCCTGTCACCTTGTCACCCCAGCAGGGGCTTAACTTGCAGGTTTTCCATTCTTGTCTTCCCTTGGGGGCCGAGTTCCCCAGCCTGAGACTCCCCTGACCGCCAAGCTCTGCCTGGACCAGTGAGGGTGCCGGGAGGGGCCTGGGTCCACCAGTATCGCTCCACGGCTCCCCAGCCTTGGCTGGGGGCCCGGAGGCCAGACGGGGCCCATCTGGAAAGGCTGCTCAGGGTGCCTCTCAAACTGATACCCTCTCAAACCCAGCCTCCTGACTGAGGCTGTGACTCCTCCCAACACCTGGCCTGGAGGACCCGGGGTTCTTTAGCCAACACACAACCCCCAGGCTCGAGAGGCCACAGTCTGGGGACCTTCCTTTTCTAAGGAAGGGCTCTATGACGGGATGCCGGGCTGACTGCACGGTCCCTCTAATTTCAGAGCGAGCTCGGATGCCAGCCTTCGAGGATGTCATGGCCAGGCCCCCGGAGGGCCCTGCGGCAGCCACCCACCATTTCCTGAGCACCGCGAGACCAGAGGCAGCCCAAACCAACAGGCACCCCGACACCCAGCCAAATGACGGTGTTGGCATCTGCCGGTCAAGCTCTCTCTGGAGCGGACTCTGCTCTGGGACAGGAGAGGGGACACGCTGACATCCCAGGGGCCCCTGCTCACAGGAGTTCTTGCTGGTGGAGGGCGTCCGATGGGGTGCAGGGTGACTTCAGGCCAAGCTCCCCAATTCCCAGCCTTCACCTCCTTGGTGGTCAACCCCTTTCCCAGCGCTGCTCCTGGGGCTCCAACACCATGGGGCGTCTCAGCCGGTTTAGCCCGTGAAGGGGGATGGATTCAGGCTGCGGAGGGCCTGTCCCACGGCCACCAACGTCCTCACCTGGCTTCATGGCGCTCATGACGGCTCGGCAGCTCCGCAGCACCGCCTCATAGATGGCCTTCTGGTCTGGGGTGAACTTGCCGTTGGCCGGGAAGGAGCACGTGATGTCAGAGGAGAAGCAGTAATACTCTCCACCCATGTCGAACAGGCTGCGGGGAGAGAAGGCTGTGAGGCCGGGACGCCCCCTGCCCAGACCCTTGCCCACAGGGCCCCGCGGGTGTCAGGGTGCCCAGCCCCGGCCACCTTGCCACATCGCTGGTGCACCAGCAGTACGAGGCCTCCCCCTGCTGCTGCGTCCTCATGATGTTTGCTCAGGAGTCCTCTGACCGCAGAGCAGGGAAGCCCAGAGGGAGTGGGGCCGACCCGTACACACTCCCCTGCCCTCCCCAGCCTCTGCTGGCCAGCATCTGGATGCCCAGCGGGCGGGGGGGGGGTGGCGCACTTGGAGAATGGGGGAGGGGCAGAGATGTCCCCAGGCCCTAACTCACCACCTGGCCTCCACCTGAGCATCCCCACAGACCCTCCCGGGACTTCTCGGCCCCAGCACTGCTCACAGGACCCAGGCAAGGGGCCTTGGGATGGAGGCACCCACCCAGCGGGCAAGGTGGGCCAAGTCACACCACCCAGCTCTCCTGGGCCCCAGGGTGTGAGTGAAAACTCTGCCAATGGCTCTGTTCCAGCACCAGGGGCCCCCTGAGCAGAGGGTGTCCTTCTCCCTGCTGGGATGGGCCAGATGTGCTCTACCATGGCCGAGGTCAGGCCCGGGACGACAGAGCGGATGGCAGTCCCCATGTCCTACAGGGCACCCCCCGCATCCCCAGGAGTGGAGAGGAGGAAGGCTAGGAGGCCCCAGGCCGGGGTCTGAGAGCCAGCAGAGGTAGGCTGCAAGTCACGAGGGTGGCACAGCACACCTGGCTGCCAGACCCCCTGTGCCAGCACCCAGTGTGGTGGCGCTAGAAGGGAGCGGGGTGGGTCTCTCCACCGCCTTTGCTGCCTGCCCGTGTGCATAGGCCCAGGAGCCGGGGCCTCAGCATCCTCAGCGGTCAAGGGCAGGAAAGAATCCTCCCCCTGCACTCTGTGTGCTGGGATGCGACAGGATCCGTGAATGGCTGCTGGGTCACCACGCTGACAGGACCCCAAATGAGAGCAGGAGAGGTGTACAGGCGGAGCAGTCCCCCCACCCTGTCCCCTGTCCCCCGTCCCCCCGAGCATCTCAGCAGGCCGCTTGCCAGCAGGCATACTGAGGGGACCCTCCAGCACCCTCGGCCCCTTCATCAGCCAAGCATGACGCCGATGGAGACAAAGCCGGCTGAGGGACAGCGGTCCAGCCCCCGCCCGGGATTCTGCTGCGTCCCCAGCGCCAGGTGACCAGAGTCGGGTGGAGCCGGGGGGTGGGGCTGCCCTCTGCCACTGTGCCCTGCCCTGTCCTCCATCTGCAGCTGCACAGATCCTGACAAACCTGAGCCAGGGGCAGGGCCGTGCTCTCCCCCAAACGCAAATCCTTGTGGTGAGCTCAGCGGCTCGACCAACATCCCAGGGGCCGCCTGAGCGCCTGCCTTTGGGGCCCTGACCCCGGACGACAGAATAGGGGGCCCTGGCCCCCACCTGTGGAGGAGTAGGGCCTAACAGGCAGCACCCGCTACTCCAAAGAGACAGAGTTTTAAAGGAAAAACTTGAAAGCTCAGGACCCCCAGACACTCTGCTGGAATCCAAAGTCCCCTGCCGATCGAGCGCTTTTTAATCTCCTTTTTCCAGTTGCAAAACACCATAAACAGTGTCAACAGAGCAAAAAGCACCAGATAACACCTCAGGTGATTCTCATGGGGTGGAGAGAGGGCCCCAACCAGTACGGCACGAGAACTCCAGGCCGGGTCAAAGTCACAGACTCTAGGGGACCCTGCATGGAGCAGGCTCGTGGGGGAACTCAGACCTCACTGGGGGTGACCCGAAGACAAGACAGAAAGGCCTTGAACAGACACGCCTGGGGGGCTCCAGACACAACAGGGGGTTTGGGCCAATAGCTGCGAGCAGACTGACTGTTGTGGGGGGCACTCTTGCCCCTCCAAAGCTGGCCAGGAGGGCGGCGCGCATCTCAGCCCTAACCTGCAGAGAGCGTGAGGCTCTGAACACGGCCCGGCAAAGCCCCGTGTCAGGGGTGTCAGCAGCTCAGAGCCCAGCGACGGGCCCTCCTGTCCTGACTCCAGCACTGGGCCCCCTGGGCCTCAGCACCTCTCCCTTTAAGCAAGGGACGCCACTGCCGCCGTGTCCTCTCGGGGCCGGCGTGTAGGCAGGCGTGGGGAGTGGATCTGTATGGGGCCACAGCCCAGTCCCACACTGGGAGTAGAGCATTCCCATTTGTCCCGCTACCCCAAGGCAACAAAGGAACCTGATTTGTGGTTTGATTCAGAATGTCCGAGAATGGTCTGAGCAGACAGGACGCAGCTGGGGGCTGGGGCGACACAGACTTGTGGGGCCCACCCACCAGGGGGCAACCTGCAGCGGCACCCCTGAGGCAGACGGCTGGACTGTGCTGATCTCAGAGAAAAACAGAACTGCAACTATTTAAGAAACGAGGAAGCCCAGAGCACGCTGAAGTCTGGAGTCAAGGAGAGCAGCGGAGACAAGAGCTTCTCTGGGGCAGACGAGACTGGGGCCTGAGTGCTCCGGACACGCTTCTCAAAAACACGGCGAGAATGTGGGTCGGGGTGCCGGGGGCCCCTCAGCCAGCCTGGCTTTACTGTTCAGACTCCAGAAGACCTTGCTGGGCTTTGTTGGGTGAGGCCCGCCCACTCGTGGCAGAGGGAAGTGAGCGCCCAGGCGGCCAGTTCCATCCTGCCCAGCGCCGCTCGGGCACGGGGCTGGAGTCTATTTTCGTGATCTCAGTTCCCTATCTTTCTCTGCTTAAAAAAAAAAAAAAAAATCCCCCTCAGAGTTCCTACACGCATAGGTTACTCAGATTCAAGGCACTCTGGAATCCAGGGACGAAAGCCGCGTCTTCCATAAATCATCTCCCTCCAGCTCCTCTGTGCCTGCTTCACCCGTCCTCCAGCACAAAGTGACAGTGGGGAATTGGGTCATCCTTTGACTCCCCTGAGCGCTCAAGATCCCCCTCCCCCGCTGCTTGGGGACACCCACCGGCTGCTACCATCTTTGGCAGAGCGACACTATGTGATAATCTAAGACATCTGGGAGCCGTTACGCATCTCCAGGCAATACGCTGGCGTGCCTCTGCTCACATGTGTTTATCTGGTTCTATTTCTGGCCGGGATGAGAGGTTCTGTCTGCCTTTGGCTCCTCCTGGGCAGCTTCATGCCCGGGCTGCCCGCCACACTTGGCTCAGCCCGGCCCTCTCCAAGCCCCACTCAGCTCCCCGGGCCCCACCGTGGGGACCAGCTGGCCCCGGGGCAGAAGGCCTCTGAGATGGTCGGGCCAGTGATGCAGGCTTGGGCAGCATCCCGGGGAAACGCTGCTGTGCACGTACAAGGCTCTCAGTGTTCAGTGTCTAGTCTGACTCTTTACTGTTCCGAGCTGCAGCCTGGCCCCCCATCCGCCTGTCACCCAAGCCTGGTGCTGGGCCGTGGCAGGAGAATTTCAGAATTTCAGACCTCCACTCGCCGCCGCCCCAGCCTGTGTTCCAGGGGATTTCTGAGAAGCAGGAAACTCCTGCTTCCCTCCAGACCTCAGCATGGGAGAGGAAGACGTGCTGCTCGCTTTCCCGTTCATGTCCTACAGCGGACAGCCCCTCTGGACGAGGCATGTGGCCCACCTACCCGCCCCCAGCCTGCCCTTCCGTGGGATGCCCAGGCCCCGTGGTGACCGGTGGGGCTGAGGCCATCACTTGGAGGCCATGGGCTGACTCATCAAACAGACCTCTCTCCAGTACCTTCTAGGCATCCCTGTTCCCCACCCCAGCCCCGGGGACAGCTATTCCTCTGGGGCTCAGGCGAACAGGAAAGTTGCCCGAGTGACCAGCCCCCAGAGCCCCAGAGCCCATGAGGCCTGGGGTACAGGTTCGGGCTGGGGGCATCCTGTGTGTCTGGAGAGAAATGTGTTTCCCGTTCTACAGATGGTGTGGGGAGAAGTGGAGCGCCTGTGTGGGGCCATGTCCCCAGGAAGGCCGTATATGACACAGTGACTATCCACTCAAGCGCTCGTGCCCCTGCGGCACAGCAGACGAGGGCTGGGCATCAGGGCAGTGGCCTCTGCCGGGGAGGGCCGGAGTCGTGTCACGAGCCCGGCACATGCTTCGTTTCACTTTTTTGGTCAGCAGCGTCCCGTGATGTCTGTGAGCACCCAGGCTGGACCAGCGCTTTTCAACCCGGGGGCGGTGAAGTCACTGAGTGGGGACAGGTTCTAGTCTGGTAGGTCATCCCCTGCACACGTGGGATGGGGCCCGAATGTGAGGGTGCTTTTCACTGGGACGGAAAGTGAGGGCTACGGCCACAGGTCTGGCTGTCCAGGCTAGCGGGGTGTGTGTGCCCCCGAGAGTGTTCTCTTACCCTGAGGCCTGGGCATGTGTTTAAGATCACTGAATCCTTGGTATGGGGCTGCTGAGTGAAAGTCAAGTGTTCCTCTGAGAACAAGGGGACAGGGGTCTGGGCTGGGCCTGGCACCAGGGATCAGGCTCTGGAAGGGACACTCGTTCTCTGAAGTCAACCAGGGCATCAGGCTCCAGGACAAGGGAGGCCTGGAGGCTCCCTCACCTTGGCCCCACCACCAGCTGGGGGAAGCCCCCCTCAGTCCAGCCCTGCCACCAGCTTGGGGGGTGGGGTGGGGTGGGTTCTAGACACAGACTCGCCCCTCCCTGGGGCTGCAGGGGACAGAAAGACAGAGCAAGTGGCTCCTGGGAACAGGCAGGACCGTCCCATCACAGCCTGCGGGATACCAAGGGAACTGCTGGGGCCCTGGGGTGAGCGGTGCCCGCCCCTCACAGCCTGCAGGCCTGGTGCATGGTGGCCTGGGACGGAGTGGGTGAGGTAGGGTGGCACCCCCCAAGCAGTTAAACATCTAGTCCATGTCAAACCTGTGGAACTGAGAATGAGACAAGGGCAGGAAGGAGCGGGGGTAATGGCACTGGTGGCAGGAAGGGTGGCCAGCTAGGGAAAGAGCCTGCGTTGGCCACAACCCCTCATAGGCCTGTCCCCTCCTCTGTGGAAGGAAAGGATGGGTCAGCTTGGGGGGTGTGATGTGGCCAGCAGGGGCCACTGATGCCAGCAACAGGTCAGGTGTCTCCAGGGGCTTCCCTGGGAGGAAAGCCCATATTTCTCCAGGCAGAGAGAAGCGGGGCTGCGGTCACTGTGCACTGTGTCCCCTCTTTTGCCAGTCAGCGGGGCAAGGCAAGCGAGACAGGGCATCAGGCTGTTAACAGAGCAAGGAGAAATAAAGGCCCCCGAGCGCTGACAGGAGAGGAGAGGAGATGGGGTGAGGACAGAGCATGGGGCTGGGACAGGCGTCTCTGGCTAACTGGGCGGGCTGTCCCCTCCCACGCCCCAGGGGCAGCAGGACATAGCCTCCAGCAGGGAGGAGGCCTGCCCACACATCCTGGGACAACGCTGCCCTCTTCTGGCCAGTGCTGGGACGGCCGGCTCCCACCCATGGGCTGCATCCTGCCTGCAGCTGGGCAACCTAGGCCTGGGCATCCTTAGACAGGCAGGCGCTCTAGAAGGTTCTGAGGATGACCACAAGGCATTCTACCTCAGGAACCACTCCCCCACTCCCTGATCAGACAGTGGGAGTGGGAGGCAGCAGTGGTGCAGGAGGAGTGTCCCAGCTGTCCTCCCAATCAGAACCCACTGGAGGCACACCCTGGACCCCTCCTGACTCTGCCCCTGGGGTGATGCTGCTGAGGGTCCCTGGGACACGGGAGCAATGCAAAGGCCCCCCTCAGACCCAGTGGAACACAAGGGAGGATCCAACTCTGGGTGCCCGGCTTCCCAGTGGATTTGAACATGGACAGTGGCGCTCCCTGGTGGCCATGGGTGGCATACCAGCCCCCGGCACTTCCATCTGCCTTGGGGACCCTGGTTTTCAAAGCCCGGGCTGTCTGTGCAAAGCCAGGGCAGCCCATGGGCGCCACATCTGTCTTCACAACATCTGTGCTCACAGCCACCTGGCTGGAGCTGATATGGTGGGGAGGGGTCTTCCCGGGCTCCCACCCAGAAAGGGAGTCCAGGGCCAGAAGCCACCATCCTTTGGGCGAGCACATGTTAGCAGGAGTTCCCGGCTCCTGCTGCCCTGTCTGATGAGGTCTACCACTGCCTCAAATGCCAGAACAAAAAGCAACTGATGGCTTCTCTAGGACTGTTGCTGGGAGACAGGTTCCTGGAGAACCCGTGAAAGGGCTCTGAGAGCCAGGGGAAAAGGTCCAAGGGGCCCCCAAGAGGCCTCATGGCTCTGAGGGAGCTGAGTGCGAGACCCCCAGGGATCTGAAGCTACATCAAAGTCTAGGTCCCTACCTGTGCTTCACGCGGAGCAAGTGGGGCTGATCCAGCAGAGAGACATGGGAAGGGGTCCCTGGAGCGGGCATGGTGGGCCAAGTGGTCCTCGCTACCCAGCCCCGGGTGACAAGGCGGATGTGGAGGGCGGACCAGCCTGCCTAACCCAGAAGGCCTGTTCCCAGGCCACGACTGAGGCTGACAGCAGCCTCGGCCCGGCTCCCGGGAAGGAGCTGGTCCCGGAGGAACAGGGGCATGGTGGGGTGGGCTGGCCTCACGCCCCACCAGGCACTCACCCAGAGGACAGCGCAGCACTGGAAACACAGTACAGGCTCGAGAGCTACCTGCCTCAGGCTCTGCGGAGCCTCTCCCCGCCAGTCTGTCATGGAACCCGCTGCTGGAAGGTGGGCCTCGTGGTCCCAGAGCACAGGCAGAAGGCCAGCCTGCTGGCTCTGAAGATGGTCACCACTGCCACTCTCACCCGCCAAGGCCACACTGCGCCAGGCTCCCCACTCAATACCGCTTATTTTCACTGACTCCTCCCAGGGCTGGGTGTGCACGGAGAAGCTGAGCCTCAGGGCACCAGCCACTCAGCCAGGGAGGGGGAGGGCAGGGGCAGGAACTAGGGACCCTCTGCAGTCATCATCACACGTCACACGGCCCGGGTTCTCTGAGGCTCCCTGTGGGGTGCTGGGGGCACGTCTGGGACTGGAGACAGGGACAGGAAGGCTAGCTGCCTCTCAGCCCCCATCCCAACCTTCTCCAGCAGCGCCTGACTGTCTCGGACCCTCTCTGGCCCCAAGCAGCCCCTTCCTCAACATTCAAATGTCTCTGGGGCATTTTCACCGACTTCAAGAGACTGCGACCCAGGGCCTACCAGCAGGTGGGCGCCTGGAACGGTGGTGCTCTGGGAGACACTCAGCTCCAGGAAAAACTCCGCACTACGCTCCTGTTTTGGTTTCATACCTGATGATGAAGTATCGTGGCTTTTACGTTGGGATAACAGAGTGATCTATTATTTACCGAACACAGTAGGCGCGGCAGATCAATTTCAATAAAACAATGGATTATAAATGCCTCCAGCGATCTGGCAGTGGCAGTAATCAACAAAACATGTTGTTCTAAATGCTGCATAATAAATTGACTATAATAAACTCATAATTATTCTACTGGCTACATTTCAAAGTTAGCACTAGAAAAATAAAATCACCCATTTGGACTTGGCATTCACACCCACGGGATTCCTAGATCACTCCTGTCTCAGCTGCAAGCAGGAGACGTAGGTGCCGTGCCCCCAGGAGGGCCGGGGCCACGTCTGGGCCCCGTGGAAAGCTGATGTACACCGCGTCCTGGTCAGCCCAGCCCCAGCCCAGCAGCGGGCAGCCTCAGGACACAGCTGTGACCAGCCTCTCAGGGGGTGAGGACCGTAGTGGGGGCAGATAAAGAGGAGCGTGGAGAAGGAGCCACTTCCTCTGGGGTGTGCCAAGCTCACACAGGAGAAAAATCATGGCCACATGGCACTGCCACAGGGCCCTCCAGGAGGCCAGAGCTGACCCTAGGAGAGCTGAACCTCTCTGGTATGGCTAGGTTGCTGTTTCTGCCCAGGGACTAGAGTTCCACATCCTGGACTCCTGGCCCAGCCAGAATGAGCAGCACAAAGGGCACTAGGAAAAGCTCCGGGACACAAAAGTCTGTGGAAACGCCAGGTAGTCTCTCTTTGGGGCCACCTGTGGCTCAGCCATGGTCCGGGGGCATAGCCCTCCCCTCTCTGGCCTTGGCCTCCAGCTGAGCCAAGTTTAAGGTAGCCACCTCCCTCCCTAAATTCCTCTGACTCTGTACCTGGGCCCTCCCTGTGTCTCAGTGACCTCACCTACACGTGTGTGGGGGGGTGTCCATGGGTGGGGACAAGGTAGATGTCCCTGGGGCCAGGCACTGGGGAAGTCCTGTCAGGGTTTCCACATACCCCTTGGCCCCTGTACCAAGAAGGACCTGAGCCACTCTGGGAGGGATTCAGCCGCTTCAGGTGTCCACCTGTGTATGCTCCCACCCCTGCTCTGCTGGCCCAGGGCCCTGGGAAAGGGCACATGAGCTCGTCCCTGCCTTTCTGACATATTACTTCATCCCCTTCCTGCTGTTCTGAGAGCCATGTGCTGGCTCCACCGACAGAAAAGTAAACTGAGGCTCCGAGAGGGAACTCAGTGGCTTTGTTTCCTCCCAGGAAGCTGAGCTAGGCTCTGGCCTACAGCAGTCCCAGCCAGAACAGCCCGTCCCGCTACTGACCCCGGGTGAGTGCAGAGCCCGCAGCCAGCCATGGAGCCCGGTGTGCTCTGTGGCAGGGACGGAACCCCCGGTGTTGGGTAGATGTCTGAAAACACTTAGCAGGGACAGCCCAGAATAAGGCTCACACCCCCAAGTGGATGTGGGCCAGGGTCTCCTGCGTGCAGGCTCCCCCAAAGGACCGCAAGGCTGGGCTCCACATGCGGGAGGAGGCCAGGCTCTGGCCGCCGTAGCTCCAGCCAGGGACGGAGCCTAGCGGGGCGATACCCACAATGCAACGCGAGGCCCGATGATGCCGGGGAGCAGGCCGGTGGGACTCCTGCTCAGGTGCCCCTACAACCAGGAGCTTCAAGTCCCAAAGAACCGGGTGGGACCGGCCGTGAGTGCCTCCCTCCCCATGTGTTGATGACCACGGCAAGCTGTCTGGCGGCCAAGACGGGGGGCTTGTGGGTGGCTCTCAGTGGTCCGGTGGCCACCTGGGCTGGCCCTGCCTGACATCTGGGAGGTGAAGAGGAGAAATGGGGAGTGCCCAGTGCCTGTGAGTCCAAGAGAGAGCTGGTCCCAGTCAGCAAGGCACCCACAGATCCCTGCCAAGGCCCGGGGCAGCTGCCCAGAGAGGTGCGGCACATGGGTGGGACTGCAATCCTGCCAACAGGAGAGCCCTCAGCGGGGCTGGGGCCACAGATCCTGCCCATGTCTGCTTGATCAGGGCTCAAGCAGGTGCTCCGAGCACCTAAGTTGTGCTCAGGAAAGCCCTGCAAACAGTCTTGAAGGTCAAGCGCCCCTTGTGACCTTGTGAACTCATGGCCATTTCTGGATGGCTGACGCTGGCAAGACTCCCAGGGTGGGAGGCTCCCCAGAGGTCCTCCCTGCTCCAGACTAGGGCCCGCCCTCCTGGTACTGAGATGGAGATATGAGTGTGGTGAGTGTGGGGCAAGTGCCGGTGGCTGGCTCAGTTCCCCTCTGAGGCTGCGTGTCAACCCCTCTATGCTCCCCTTGCCACGCACAGAGTCCCCCGCACCCGCTCTCAGGGCTTCTCTGGCCTTGCAGAGAAGGCGCTGTGCAGGCAGGCAGCCCTGGCAAAGAAGTCTGGGCCAGAACAGACAGGGCCTCCCAGTGCTCAGCCCTCTCAGGGTGGGACCAAGAGGACCCCCTAGTCAGTCCTCCTGGAGGCAGAGACTCCCCCACCCCACCACAGCCCCGCGGGTCATAGGCAAAGCCAGGGCAGGGGTGGCTTGGGGCTGGCCTCACTCACCACATGTCTCCATCCTGGATGGTCCGGTCGTTGGGGGCCCCGGCGTGTCCGTAGTGCAGCACTGCCGAATTCTCACCACTGCAGAGAACAGGGGGAGGTCAACACCCGTCCTCCCCCAGCAGGTCCTGGCCCATGAGCAGGACAAACCCCGCTCCAGGAGAGGCTGGGGGGCGGGGGTTGCAGGTGGGGCCCTGCAGCCGGCGGCCAGCCTCATGGCTTGTGACTCCCGTGCTAACACATGCAGGGCTCCCCAGACGAGCGCCGTGCGGGCAGGTGCTCTTGGGGCTGGGGATGTTGGAATGGCAGTGGGGACAAGGGTCTGAAGCCCAGGGAAGGGACCCCAGGGAACCCCTCCTTCCTGGTGGAGGCAGGGGGGAGGCCTGGGGGAAGGGCCTGGACCATGTCAGGGGCCGCCGTGCTGCCAGCCTTGCTCCTCTACTCGAGCTTGCTTCCCTAATGAGCGACACCTTTAAGAAAAAAAGGACTTCTAAGTCTGTCCAAAGGAAAAAAAAAACCCACCTGGGTGTAATATTTATGGCCCTGTTCGGGAGTCTCAGGAATCATAAAAGTAGAAATAATGATTTTTCTCTCTATCCACCAGAGAAGAACATTTCCAAAGACTGCGATGCTCGTATGTATTATTCATGCGCCCAGGACGTGCGCATCAGCAGAGCTGCAGCCCCATCCTGGCTGGGCGGAGGCCAGACCCTCTGACCCGGGGCCGGGGTCTGGGCCAGGAGAGCCCGGTGTGCCCAGGAGTGGAGGGGGCCACCCCCAGCCAGGATGTGCCCCTCGAAGACACACCCACAGTGACACACGTGACACGCACATAGTCGTGCACACCCAAGGCATGGGCTGCCCGGTTCTCCGGGTCGTTTGAACCCCGTGGCCTCCAAGCACACTCAGCCTCATGCAGCTGACACACACAGACACACATGGAGCCCCTGCCCCAGCCACAAAGGGCCACATGTGGGGGAACATGCTGGCTGTGTGCCTCCGCGGGGTGGCGAGGGAGAGCACGGCAGCAAGCGCCCCGCACGGGCCAGGAGCCTCAGGAGGGGAGAAGGACTTTGCTTCTGTGGCGCTGTGGTGGGCATGGCAGCGAGCAGGTGTGTCTAAGCCCGGGAGGTGGGTGCGGTGGGTCACCTTCCCACAGCCCTCTCCCTCCGTCAACCCCACTTACCTGCCGCAGATGCAGGTGTAGGAGCTGTGGCGCATGCCACCCCGGGAGTAGCAGTAGTGCTCGAAGAGGCTGCGAGGGAAGGAGGGACGTCAGGATGGAGCTGCCAGAGCACGCGCGTCCCCCGCCCCCTGCAAGCCCTTGACCCAGGCCTTGCTCAGCCAGGAGTTCTCCTGGCTCCAAGCTAGCCTCAGATGGCCCTGGGCCTGACCCTGGGGAGGGGCACGGGGAAAGGAGAGCAGAGCCACTGGGCACTGGCCTGAAGGACAGGGCCAAGGCACAGGCCCTCACGGAGACAAAGCAGGGCAGAGCGGTCTCTGGTTGGGGGCAGACAGGGAGAGAGAGGCAGAGTCTGAGGACAGGCCCTTTTCTCCTTCCTCATGCCAAGCAGCAAATGGCCCCCTGGACAAGCTCCCCCTCTCTGGGCAGGAGACGCAAAGATGAGATCCTAGAGGGGGTCGCCAGCTCCCAGGCTGAGCCCAGAGCCAGAGCCTGGGGAGGCCCTCCAGCTGCACAGGATATCAGCAGACCCGGGACAGAGCCAAGGTCAGAGGGTGAGCCACCCTCGGAAAAGGCCTGGGTCCTGCCCTCTGCCCTCCCGGGGCAGATCCTGCAGATGACTACAGGGGCTGATGGACCAGACCAGCCTCATGAACACCACCTCAACAGTGCTGAACCCTTGGGGTGCCATGCTACCAAGAGCTCTGGGGAGGCTGTGGCCCTGCCCATCCTCCTGCCCCCCATAAGCTCCAGGACCTGGGGGCTCTGTACTCAAAGAGCTCAGCCTCTCCAGGCCTCACCCCTTCCCTGATGCCTAGGCAACAGCTCAGGCCCAGCACCCCAGGAGCCCTGGCTGAGAAGCAGGGCCAGTGGACCCCAGTCCACCCACAGACCACCAGGGCAGGGGCCCAAGCACAGGGCGGTGCCATTGCTCCTGTCCTCAGAACACCAAGGCCGCCTGTGGGCATGCTGAGTGGCCATCCTCCCCTGCACACTGGAGGCTGGTTTCAGGAACGTCTGTATAGAGGAGTCTAATCTTCCAGACGCTGTAAACAGCAATTACGTGTAATTGTTATGATCGGGTACTAAGTAGTTGTCATGCAGGAACAGTTCTGCTACGTTCAGTCGGCTTCCAGACTTGCTTCCCAAGCCTCCCATAATAATTGCGTATCTGTGAGTGAACATTTCCTCAACAGAAAGGATTTCAGGAACTGCCACAGGGGCAAGGAAGGGCACACACTGGCCCCTTATCAGTGCCCTGTATTCACAGCAAGGGCACACCGGGGGCAGCCACCAACTTCCACCTCTGTCCTGGAGACCGTGGACCAAGCCACAGCCCTGTGTGCGGCTACAGCCCAGCCCGTGACTTCCCGGGGCCCCGCCCCATAGGCAGCCTCTGCTCCCAGACTAGACACTGGGGCCTCGGACATGGGGACCCTCGCACAGCGAGCCCACAGTGAGGGGAGGACGCCTGATGTGCCACGGAGCCGAAGTTCTCCCTTATAAGGAAGACCCAACCCTGTGGGGATAGAAGCAGATCTCGGGGACTGCATGGTTCTCCAGGGGCTGGGGACAGTGGGCCTCTCCTGGGGTGGGGACAGGCAGACAACGGCAGGCTATGGGAACAGCCAGGAAGGCCAGGCCAAGGGACAGCTGGGCTGCCTGCGCGCGCAGATGAATAAGCGGGAACATTCTGCAGAGGCCTGACGACGCGGGGAGCGTGGGCGGCTTCCCTCCCCCGCAGCCAGTCTCAGTGGCCTGCGTTTCCCTGCCGTGTCCTCTGCTCAGGAGAAACAGCCTTCATGACTCGCTCTGGCTTCCACTTAAGAAAGAAGCACTTTAGGGTAAAAGGCATCGCTTACAGAAGCGCTCGGCTGAGTGGAGGCTGACCCAGTTTTCACCTGCGGATCGCAGGCCGGCACTGGGGCAGCTTCTAATCAGGAAGACGGGAAACACCAGAAGCTGAAAAGTCACTCGAGCTGAAAATGACTCGAGGCTCTTCAAAGTTGGACTTTGGCACCTAATTTTGGTTTAAGTGAACTTTTCTGACGCGACGTGAGGACCAGCTGGGCCTTTGATGGCAGTGACAGGTGAATGCAACAGGCCCCCCGTTTTCTGCTCGCATGCCTTTGAGGGCCCTCTCTCTGGGCTCTCGGGCCTGGGCTGTGGACACAGGCAATGGTCAGGGGGGCCGTGGAAAGATGCGAGTCCCACAGGGGCAGGGGTGCTTCCACGCCGCAAACTGGGGGCACGGGGTTGACGTGGAGCTCCTGTGGGGCCTGGCTGGGGCTCGGTCAGAGCTGCTACCTGGCTCACAGACCAAGGCGGCGACAGGAGGGCAGTTCGTAAAGATCCCTCTGGAACTTTATGGGAAATACGGCAAACTGTGGATCAGATGAGAATCAGGTGGCCCGGGATCAGAGGGGACTAACTCCTGACATACACAAGTCTACAGCCCAATTCGGCTGGAAGCTACCCATCTGTCCCTAGGGAGCCACAGGGAGACCATGGCAGAGTCAACTGAAAACTGGAACCGGAACCGCCCCGCCTCCCACACTCAGAAGGGCTCCGTGAAAGATAGCACACGCAGAACCATGCTCCTGGGACAGGAAGGAAGAGGGAGCTGCCAGGCTTGGGAAACTGGAGGCCTTGGCTTTAGCTGCCATGTGGGGACAGGGATGAGGCCTCAGGGGCATGAGAAGAAGTAGCAGAAGAGAACAGAGACCCCACCCCCACATGCCTGGGCTGGGATGCACCCTCAGCAGAAGGGCAAGACGTGGAGAAAATTCACCAGCGTTGAAACAGGCCATCGGAAAGCCCGCCTGGGCTCTAGGGAAAAAATAAAATACTGGTCCTCCCTCAGAGCTCCTAGCGTGGGTCTGCCCTCCGGGGGGTTCAGGGTCCAGCGTGAACAACCTGCATGGTTTGGAAACTCGTACATCAAGAAATTAGCAGAAGCTATGTTACTGAATGGTGCCCCCAGCAGGAGTGACACAAAGCCAACTGGGCAGCCACAGCCTCAGCCCAGGCCAGCCAGGGTCTATGTGCATGCTTATGTACACAGACACACACACAGGTGTATATACACACCGCCACACCCTGAAGATGAACATTAGTCCACAAGAGTTGTCAGACACAGCCAGCAGCAGGCTGAGACCCTCAAGGACTTCTGAAAACAGAACTGTCGGGCACTAGATGTACCTACGAACTAACTGACACCTAACCACAGAGCATGAAAACACAACAAAGCAACACTTCTGGAGGTGACCAGTGTATCCACCAACAGATGGGGGCAGGAAGCCAGGGAGCAGGGCCCACAGCCCAGAGATCACTTCCGCCTGCTCTTTCCATCTGTGACTCCCTCCCGTGTGCCCGTGTCCTGCGGGGCCGACCCGCCCCACTCCCTCCTGCTCACCTGCACGAGGCATGGGGTGGGGAGCACATGACCGGGCACCAGGCATACGGCCTGGCAGTGGGGGGGGGGTGCTTCCTGACGTGCAGAGGCGAGCAGGGGTCTCACGCACACCTGCCACAGTGTGGTCCCTGAAGGTCCCCCCGGGCATGGCCGTGCCTCTATCAATTTACCCTCCTTGCCCATAAATTTCTCCCAAGCAAGACACGAGTGGAGAATGCTTTGTCTCCAGGCATCAGTGAGAACCTTTCAGTAACCTGGGCGAGTCTGTGCTGCGAATAACGAGGTGGATGGAGCGACTCCAGCGACAGAGGGGCAGGCCCATTTGTCAGTGCCTGGAGATGACGAATGGGGAAGGGAGAGCAGATGCCGCGGCCCCGATCTGCAGGAGTGGGGTCTCCAGGGACAGCACTGCGGGCCTCCCCGGGGCCCCACACATCCAGCCCATGGAGCTTTCCTGGGCTCACAGCCCAGCTCCTGCCCTCTGAGGTTTATCGCCTGATGAGCAGATAGCCACGGTCCTATAAAAATGCATTAGCTGCCCAAGATGATGGCAGAAGGGCTGCCCGCGGCAGCCAGGGTCAGCGAGCCATCAGCATAAGCGTGAGGGCCGGCAGCCGGGCCCGCGGGGGAGGTGAGCCGGGGCTGCATCACCCCCCCACCCCAACCCGGGCAGATCCCGGGAGGCTGAGCCGGGAACAGGAGCATGGAAGGGCAGATGGGCAGGCTGCTCCCCACATGCTCAGGCCTGTGGCTTCTCCACCTGGTGCATGTCCCATCGTCCTTGCTCTGGGCCACAGGCCGAGCCTCATGGGGCCCTGCTCAGTACTGACGCTGAAGCCAGATCCTAGCTCTGCCACGTACCAGCTGTATGGCCCATGTATGCCTCAGTTTCCTCGTCTGTAAGGTGGGATAACAGCACCTCCCACAGAGCTGCTGTATCACTTACATGATGAGACACACGGAGGTTATAATGGTGTCTTCCAGGACACATTGGCTGTCACTGCTGTCCACATTCAGGGGCTTCAAAGGGACTGCACACAGCAAGGACCCCTCGAGGGAGGCCGGGCTTACACATAAGTCTCTTGTCCTTTAAAGCCAAACAGAATCCCCCCCGTGGCCCAGACCCCTGTGCCCACACAATGCGTCCCCAGGACAGACACGCACACGGGCGTCCTCTGACATGGGGCATCCAGCTGCCTCTGTCCTGATCACGCCTCCGGAAGTCTCGCCTCCTCAGGGAGGTGCCAGGGCCTCAAGGGGTGAGAAAGGAGGGCGTGGGCATGTCTCATGCTGTTCTGGAGCTAACGACTGTGTTCTGTGCCGTTATCACAGCACAGGTGTACTCTGGATTCACACTTACTCTGTTTAATCAACTACCCTTATGTTGGGAGTATAAATGACAACTGCGTAATGAATGTGATGGGCCTTTTGGAGACCTGAGTACTTACTAAAAGAAAATTCTTGATAGTAAGAAAACCACAGTCCCCAAAACAAGAGCCCTGGGATTCGCCTTGAAGCAAGTGGAGTGTGTTTCTGTTTTCCTGCTTTCCCCGACGGGGAGGCAGCAGCAAGAGAGGACTTGGATCTAGACCCCAAAGAGGGGTCCCTGCTAGGGCGCAGCAGGAGAACAGCTTTTCCAGGGAACCAGAAGCACAGA